AGATGTCGTCTCTCTTAGTGCTTTGCATGAAGGAAGACGTTAATTTCCTTTGCTTCCATCTCCAGACATCAAACCTAATTCAAAAATAAACAATAAAAAACACCATAAAGCCTGGGGATGCTTAAGCTGCTGTAATCTACTTCCATATCAAGTGGATTTTCTATGTTAGGTAGATTCTCACCAGCTTCTTGAAGAGGTCTCTGTGTGGGTTTGTCTAACCATGATGCTTGAAGGATAGGAGGAGGTAAAGATTATGTATGAAAACAAGAGAGTGAAATTTCTATATAAATGTCTTACATGGCTTGTTCTCCTCCTTCAGGTGAATTTCTCTTCTGGGTGTCAGCTAAGTGAATCCAAAAGCAATGTAAATTGCTCTCATGTAAGAAAAAGCTGGTGGTTGAGGCTCTGGAATTTAATTATCTGCTGGACACTTACAAATATTAAATGTGGTGTGTTTGCAGACCCTTCAGACCCTTAAAATTGTTTCTAGTTTCCTTACCATCAAGAATGCAGTAGTTAACATGTCTGCACCTGGTCAAAGGAATATGTGTTCTGTGGCTAAAGTTAATAATATGCATTATTCAGTGGAATGCGTTAATGCTCAAGAGACACTTCTAAGAATTTATAATCACAGCTTGGTCTGGGAAGGTAAGCACCAACAGTAACAAAACAGCTTATCAAAACATGTCTGTTCTGTCAGATCTGTCAGTTTTAAGTTTGAAGGCAGAACTGTCTGAAATTAGAATTTTGTAAAGCTCTGGTGTTGCTTTTGTGGAGGGAAGTCAAGCTTTACAACTGCATAAGAAGTTCTTTGAAGGCATCTTCATGTGCAGGACTATTAAATCTCATTAGCAGGGTAAAAGACCTCAGCTGGGAAATGGCAGGTTGATTTCTGTCGTGTTTTGTTAGTCTCCACAGAAACAGTGACTAAACGAATTGGTAAACATAACTACTAAGAGATCGAGGAGAGAGAGGATGGACAGTATTTTTCCTCATGTGTTATAGACTTCTGACTTCAATACAATATAAGCAGGGGCTGTTATTTCACACTTTATTTTGGTATGCATACATGATCAGAGCAGAGGAGGAGAAAGTTTAGTGAAGTAGAAGCAAATGTGCTTATAAAAGGTGTGCTTTTTTTTTTTTTAAAGTGTCACCTGCCTAAAAACGCATAATCGTTTCTATTACCAGGCGAAGAGGCAGCAACACAATTTTCTGGGAGCAATAATTTAAAAGAATAGCGGTCTGTAGAAGTTAACTAGTTGAAGCCATGTCACTGGGCTATGTCAAATGTATTTTAAATAGAAGTCTGTTCTTCCTCTTTCTCTCTCCAAAGTCATGATTTGTTATCCATTAAGTAAAGGATATTCTTTCATTCAAAATGCATTATTGAATGAGGTTAAGGTGCTCGAAAACCCTATAGCTAATTTTTGTAATTTCCTGATCTTTGAATTGATATTTTCAGGCAGGGCAAGGACTATAATACCTAATTATTTAGCAAAGGCAACTTCATCCTCTCTTGAGCTCTGTTTTATAGTGTATAGAAGTGTACTGTGGATATCTTAATTACTTAAATCTAAAGATTTACCATGCCTTTGTGTTCATGACATTTTCCAATGTTTGGTTTCTGTAAGTCTATTCTCTTGTCAGAAAATTGATAAGTAACGGATTTGTAAAAGTAACAGTAAACAGTAACAGTAAAACTCTTTGTGCTTTAATAATGGTGTTCAGGTATTTATATAATCAAGGAATTATACAGAACTCATATAAACTGTTAAATGCAGGTGTTTCTTGCGTCTAGGGTCACAGGATCACTGCAGTCTTGAGCAGTATTTTATCAGGTTGCAAAGAATCATATAGTATGAGCTTTGTAGGTGTTCACTGTTTTGCAGCTGACACAGTTATCTGACTAAAACAATGTTGGTGATGAGAACAGAAACCTTGTATAAACTGTTGCTTATAACTTTAAACATTTTTAAAAAGGAACAAGTCCTTTGACCAGATGAAAACTATGTTTTAACCTTTAAAACTTAAGCAACCTTTTGGCTATTCAAACTATTTTTGCATTTACCTTTCCTGAGCACTATGTTTTGGTTGACTGTGTTAGTACTATGACAATTCCTTAAATGTCAGCATATTTTGGTAGAGACAAATGGAGTTATGAATTGAACTTCAGATGGCTGTGTTGACCAGCTAGTTTAGCATGATGCTCCTGTACCAAATTCTTTCTTTCAAGGTTTCTCTCAACAAAATTTCTGCTCTTAGCAGGGCTCCCTCCCTCTTAGGAGCTGTACAGGTTCATGTGGCAGAAAGGAAAAGGGGTTCTACAGCTGTTTTTTTAGTCGCATGAAAAAGCAGACTTGTATGTCTCGTACTCAAAATATTCTTCTTATTTACAAGGTTAAGTACACATTAGTGGGTACAACCTCTTACCTCAAAGCAAAAGTTTGAGTTGCCGTTCTCATACTTGAGGGCACTCTCACACTGCACATCATTCACAGAAATTGCATGATTCGTGGTTATCAAGAATTTCTGCAAAACAATGTTTCTATTTGATGTCTCACTTGGCCTCAAGGGTCTCCTCTTGTGGTTTGCATCAAGGAGATCTACACTGTGGCTTATCTGCTTGACTAGCTAGTAAAAGATGTGTGCTCACAGATTATTGACTTAAAAATGTAGGCATACAGCAAAATCTGAAATGGGAGTTTACAGGCAACCTCATGTTTCTTATTCTCTGCCCTCTTTGAAATAGAGGCCAATGCTCACTGATGGTCTAGTAGCTGCAATTAGAGCTTGTGTGTGTCACACTGCTTCTTAGATGTATGCTGAAGATCACTTAGAAAGATGTGTCCAGTATGTAAACTTGATCTTTCCCTTTCCATTTCGTGGCCAGTTAGGTCCTCATGCAATTTGTCAAAGAACTCATACCCTCTACGCTCTGGAGGGAGAAGAAATAAGTGGTTACAATTTCTTCTTTCCCTTTGACTGCCATTGGCATTTGTGACAGATGCTGTAGGAGATGCACGCATAGAAGAGCTCTGTGTGCAGCATCTCTTCACAACATTCTTGAGCTTAGGCATTCAAAATTTGCTGCCTGCAGTACAATACAGGAACATAGGGTGACAAAGATGGTGAAGGGCCTAGAGAGGAAGACATATGAGGAGCAGCTGAGGGCACTGGGCCTGTTCAGCCTGGAGAAGATGAGGCTGAGGGGAGACCCCATCGCAGTCTACAACTTCCTCGTGAGGGGGAGTGTCCAAATTCTGCTCAGTGTCACTTCACTGTTCTTACATTAAGCAACCACAGAGGAGTAGGATAGGGTTTGTTCTGCATAGGGTTGTTCCAATCTAGTAAGTCTGTCATATGAATCATAGTGGTAGCAGACCATCTCATTCCAAACTACGCAAGTGTACAATCACAGCAGACCTAATTCCCTCCTCTATAAATAGGAGATGAGGGACTGTGAAGTATGAAAAGTTGTTGAAGAGTGTAACCACCAAGAGTTCCTGTTGTCCTAGCTTTTTGACCCCTTAGCCTTAACTTGTTTTACTGATAGTTTTTAATTATCCTATAGTTAGTGAGATACACTTCTCTGGCTGATGCCTCCATTTCAGCTGCACTCTATGTTGGGCAGGATGTCGTGCTATCTAATGTGTTGGTCTCACTGTATCCGAAAGAGTTCAGAGAAGATCCTTGTTCCTGAGTTCTCATTTCCTGTAGGGCCTGTTCTATTTTTTTCCTTCAAGAAGGAAATACTGTACTGGACTTACTACATCGATGCAGTAACCTGTCCTTCTCTATTGTATGCCTGTCTTAATTACTGAAGATGCATGAAGTTTCTGCCAAGCTCTACCTTTTAATTGGAGTTTTAGGTTTTTAGCACAGCCTGCATCTGATGAATTTGCTCTTTGATTCGGGGGAAATGTTAGTCCTTTACTTTAGACACCGTTTTTCTTGGCAACTGTAATTTTTGCAAGACATTGAAATCCAGGAACTCATTTTAAGTTATTTTCTGTTTTAGAATTTTCCTTAGTTTCTATTCAAGATTGTTATGAAACTTAGCAGCTATATACTGCCATGGGACCAATAAATTACATGTTAGTATTCTTCCTTGATCTTTTTGCCATGGAATTTGGGGCATTACATGTGAATAGTTCCATCAGTCACCTTGCACAGATTCAGCTGTACTATATACTCATGTAGCCGTCATGGAAGCTTTTGGAGAAGGAAAATTTTTTGGTATGATCGTTTTCCAGTAACATATCATGAAGGTTCTTGGAGACTTCCTCTATGTGACACGATCCTGGAGCTTCACAGAGGAACATGCATAGAGATGAGTGTGCTGAGATTTTTGTCCCAACACTGCATTCCATTTACCATGTCCTTGCTTTCTGTCTTGAAGCTCTTGGAGCTTTGAGATTGAGAAATGCACCTCACACTTCCTAGCTCAACAGGAGGCTTATGGGAAATACAAGGTACTAAGACTCATGTAGGGTCGTATACAAGATTTTAAAAAATAAAGAAACAAAACACAAGCTAGGGCTGATTGCTCATAGAATGTGTGTTAATGTGAAAAACTGATCTTGAGGAACTTCCTTTAATGATAAGTAACTCCTGCTTTATTAAGTAATTTTAAATTCTGTGCTTCATTTAGGAGCATTTACATTAACAGGATGCAAGTCTCAAAATTCTGTACAAATGGCTAGTAGAGGGTTGTTGTGCTAAGTACATCTTCAACTAAACACAAATAAAAACAATAAAATGAAACCATTATCTTTGTAATTGGAAACAGCTCAAAATTTTTCATTTTTTGGGGAAAAATGTTTTAATTATTTGAGGTGAAATCAATGCTCAGGGTCTTGCAATTTTAGACAGTTTTTTCAGGCTTTTTGTGAGTTTTATTAAATGTTTGAAAATAGGTATTGTGAAAGACAGTTATTTCATTTTGAAAACCTTGATATACATTAGATACTGTTTAACAGTATTTTATGTTTATGTAGGTTCCTCTAAAGAAGGAGGAGCTGGAGCTGTTGATGAAGATGATTTTATTAAGGCATTTACAGATGTTCCTACTGTACAGGTAAGATGTTGTATATACTAGCTTTTGTTTTCAGGAATGTGCTATTTACATCGTCTTAGCTTACACTTTTTTTTCTTTTATATATAATTTTGTAGTCTCTTAACTGAGTGTCATTACTTTTCCTTCTTTCTGAAAATTTAGTCTCCACGGAAAGCTGCATTTTTTTTCCTGGTGTTAGTTACAAAACTAACCTTTTAAAATTGTCCTACTAATTATAATTACTTTGTGTTTCAGGTAGAATCCGTTATTACTTTGTTTAATCTTTTCCAAGGAGCTAGTGAAAATAATTGCATGTTTCAGTTTTGATAAGAAAAAGATTTCCATAGGTGTTGGAAAACCTAGGAACTAACGATAATTCAGGCAAATAATTTAAAAACCAAGAATTATATTTTAAAAATCTGTCTGAATTGTAATGATGCATGTCTGGCATATATGTTTATATGTTCCCATCTGTAGCAGCACTTCAAAAAAAAAAAAACAAAAAACAAATCTAGTGACTTATTTGAAAGTTAATGAACTTAAAAGATAAGATATTAATTTCTATTCCTTAAGTGTGGGAATTGCTTATACTTGGTACTTTCACACAAGGTTGGGTCACCTAACATGTTTGTATCTTCAATTTTGAATAAGTTTTCTTTGAGGGACTGAGGAGTGGAAGATGACCAAAAACTCAGGCACAGTTTCTGAACGCCAGAAGGATTTTGAATCTCTTGATAGGTACTTTTGTTCTATTTCTATTTCAGAAGACGATGGTATTCTATTGGTTGGTGGATCTCCTTTTGTAGGCAGAATTACTCTGCTTTTATGAAGGAACACTTTATCTCCATGGTTCCTGTCATATCAAGCAAATCTTATACTGTAGGACCTTTGTATTTCTTCTTTGCTTCTCTGAACTGTTCAGAATTCTTTGGAGGGCAAAACCATGGAACTTCTGATACTATTTATCTTCATTATGCTGAACAGAGTAATTTTCAACAGCACTGAAAACGTTCTGCCTCTAATTTTTTACTTTAATGTTTGAGGTCCCAAGCGGAGTTCTCTAATTACTTAAATTGGTTAATAACACTAGGCAATAAAAAGTGGTATGACTATATGTCATTGACCAGTAGGTGTGATTTTTCTGTCTGACTGTACTGGATGATTCACTTTTCCTTACTAATGTCACCTGAATTGAGGTGGGGAGTAACAGGAGATGTTTCTTTGACCCTAAAATAAATTATTGGGTTCACAAATGAGAATGTAAGGCCAGGGAAAAATAAATAAATAAATTGTATCCTTAAGAATAATGACTTCCTGCTGTCCCAACTTCAGGTTTCTGATTGTGGACAATCTCATGCTTCTTTTAAAAAAATAAAAATAAAAATAAAAAATCCCATATTCTGCGATTGTGTTGATTACTATGGAAGAGATAATTTTCTGTAATAGAATTTATGGAGAATGTTCATGACCTGCATTTTGCCATGTTAATCTAAAAGTGAAGGAAACTTGTCAGACAAAATGGGGAAAGGGAGTTAGTTGTTTGTGTGTTACTGTGTCTGCCTGTCTTTTCATTACGTTTGTGTGGGTTTTAGTAGTGGATTCAGTGATGGTAATGGAGGGAACTACATTATGGAAATGGGTCTAATTTTGAATCAATTTTGTGCTTCTGGACTAATCAAATAAATTCAGATTTACTGTATATGTTTGACATGATCTTAAAAGCCTCCACTGGTGGATCTGCTTCAATAGTAACCTGTCTCAGTGACTGCTCATCATTAATCCTCTAGTAATGTCACATAATTTACTTCTATCTATGGCAATTTGTAATTCCCATATTGAAAATAGTTTCTGTTTATATAGTTACTGCTCTAATTTGTGTTTGAGCTTTTAAGTTTTCAGTCTTTGATGTTGCAGTTGCTGTTACTGATATATGTGCATGTTGCCCTCTGATGGATAACTGCAGTTTATGAAGATAGCTTATTTTGAGATATAGTATGATGGCTTTTTGCTAACAAGTGTCCTTTGCTCGTTGTACTGTGATGACAGGATTGTACCTGCATATTTAGATTACAAACATAATAATTTTACGCCTCTTTTTTTTCACTTGTGTTTAAATTGAAGAGGAAACTTCAGTATTCAGATTAGAAATAACTCCCATTATTAGCTAGATTTATTTTCAAAACAAATTTGTTTGTATTTATGTCTGACTTAGAAACTTACAAACAAAAAATGTATTTTCATTGCCTGAACACAAAACTGCATGTTGGCTTTCTAAAAGCATAATTAATCAAGGGCAGAGAAAAAAAATAAAATATTAAAATATTACTTTTTACTTCTCTGAAACTGATGTAAGTATGGAGAAACTTAGTACTTTGAGATTTTTGGTGGAAAAGTTTTAATTTCATGTCAATCAAAATTATGCCACTTATTAAATTCCTCATTAAAATGTCAATTTGAATAGTAGAAATTGCATATATTTGTGCTGGGCAATTAAAGGAAAAAAAGTTCTTAGCCTAGGCATGCATGTGGCGCTAACTTAAAGCTATTTGTATGTTGCTTCTGTGTTTGACTATTGAATTGGGAAGAACAGGGCAAGGTGGATGATGGTAAAGGGGGAAACCTGAGAAGGTTGAATTATTGCAGGTTCTGATGACATTATGGTCACCAAAAATGTAAAATTGCATCTTTACTTGACCAGTGACCACTTTTAGAAGTCATATAAGGATTTCCGTATGATGACATGCAATTTAATCAAATGAAATTTTCATTGAGACACATAGGGTATTTATTCCGAACAATATAGTTGGTACCTGTGTTACAGTGTTACAGTGAATGTGTTTTCTAATAAGTATTATACACTACCAGTATACACAAGTTGTGTATTAAATGGTGATACAGAACTCAAGTTCAGTCTTTATGAGTAGTGGAATAGGAAGTCTGTTATGCTTGAATCGACTTTCTTCATTAAATTCTTCACCCTTTTAAAATAAGTTCTGCATCAGATTGCTGTAGACTTCTAGGTATGAAGAAAGATGTAATCATGAAGAATAGCATTTGTTTTTATGGTTGCAGTCATGTCTCCTGTGTAGATAGAATTGCTAGTTTGTTTCCACACGTGTACCTTGAAGAAAAAAAGGCTTACATAGCTGTGTGGTAATTGAAATGTTAATTCTGTTGTTAAAGCATATTCAGACAGTGTTTTCTGCGCGAAGCTGGTGTAGGTGTGCTAACTCATCCATTTATGAAGTGATTCCTACCCTGTTTATCAGACAAACTAAATATGCAGATGGTCTAGAGCATGGATGTCTTCCATGAAATAGAGGCCTCCATAACTGTGTTCTGTTACTAAAGCATTAGATCAAAAGTAGAAATCATTGGTGAGTCCAAGTCCTGTATCTACTGCAAGAATTTGTTCAGTATGCTCAAGAACTTGGAAAGCTAGTCTTTATTTCAAACAACTCTTGTAGTAATTTGCATAGGGAAATAAAATATTTTATGGAAAATATGCCCGACGGAGAAGGACCTGGGAGTATTGGTTGATAGTCAGCTGAATATGAGCCAGCAGTGTGCTCCGGTGGCCAAGAAGGCCAACAGCATCCTGGCTTGTATCAGAAACAGTGTGGCCAGCAGGGCTAGGGAAGTGATTGTCCCCCTGTACTCAGCTCTGGTGAGGCCGTACCTTGAGTACTGTGTTCAGATTTGGGCCCGTCACTACAAGAAGGACATGGAGGTGCTCAAGTGAGTCCAGAGAAGGGCAGTGAAGCTGGTGAGGGGTCTAGAAAACAAGTCTTAGGGGGAGCAGCTGAGGGAGCTGGGCTTGTTCAGCCTGGAGAAGAGGAGGCTCAGGGGCGACCTTATTGCTCTTTATAAGTACCTTAAAGGAGGATGTAGTGAGGTGGGGGTTGGTCTATTCTCCCATGTGCCTGATGACAGGACGAGGGGGAATGGGCTAAAGTTGTGCCAGGGGAGTTTTAGGTTGGATATTAGGAAGAACTTCTTTACCGAAAGGGTTGTTAGACATTGGAACGGGCTGCCCAGGGAAGTGGTGGAGTCACCATCCCTGGAGGTTTTTAGAAGATGTTTAGATGTAGAGCTTAGGGATATGGTTTAGTGGAGGACTTGTTAAGTGTTAGGTAAGAGGTTGAACTCGATGATGTTGAGGTCTCTTCCAACCTAGACAATTCTGTGGTTCTGTGATACGGTTACAGCTCAACTGTAGAACAGGATAGAGACACATTCCTAAATCTTTCTCCAGTAAGATAAAAGGTGCGGGTATATGCACGGAACAGTGTGTTCAAGAGACTAGCATCAAGGCTCTTCAGCAAACCAAGGTCTTCATAACCATTGGTCCTTGCCTCCCCCAACATGCTCTGTGCTCTAGAACATAGAAAAACTACGTTTTGGACTTGAATAGATAGAGTGACTATCAGCTACTACTATTCAGGTGCTATGTAAGTTATTATGCTGGCTTCCAGCTTACGCTTGGTAAAGGCATGGGTCTCCTTGAAGCCCTGTGTTACATCTGCCAGCCCGGTCTGGATGCCTCAGATGGCACCAGCTGCCTGTGTGTGGGCAACTGAATGTAGCCCAATATGTGTTTGTAAAGAATTGTAGAATTGTTTGGGTTGGAAAAGACCTCTAAGATCATTTAATCCATTTTTTAACCTAGTACTAAAGTCCTCCACTACACCATGCTAAGTTCTATATCTAAGTGTTTCTTGAAGGGCTTCAGGGATGGTGACTCAACCACTTCCCTGGGCAGCCTGTTCCAATGCTAAGCAACCCTTTTCAGTAAAGAAATGTCTCCTAATATCCAACCTAAACCTCTGCTGGCACAACCTGAGAATTTAGGATCCCAGGGATTAGTAATCTCTAGTTGAAAGTATGTTGCTGAAAAAAAAAAATCAGTGTTCTGGTTAGTAATCTGTTTCATATCCTTTTCATATAATTTTTTTTCAAGCTGGGGGAAGAAGAAGAAAAAAATTATATTTTGCATGGACAGTGCAAAGCAAAGTGGAAGCAGAATAGAATGTTCCGTGCCTTATGTCTATGAGAATCAAAGGGAAGTCAGTTTATTTCTGTGAAAATGTATTAACACTTTTTTCTTGTTTAGAAATTCACTGTTACACTTGCAGTTATCAATAAATTAATTAATTCATGTATTGCCAAATAGTGACTGATGTATGATTAGGTTGTCAGGTTTCAATTTTGCTGGAATTAGTATGTAGAGAACAGAGGAGTCTGAAGGCTGCTCTTTATATTTACTTGCTGATTCTGTGAGTTAATAAGTGATAGGTGTGGAATAGTAATAAATATAGAAGCTATGGAAGCTTTTATTTTTTCAGACACATTTTATTTTAGTGTTGACTAACAGCCCAGTTAGTTCCTTGTAGTATCACAACTTTTTAATGAGGAAGAGAGTCCCTTGCCCCAAGAGAGTTTCATTGGGTTATAATCAGTTGGTTGAGTAATTAGTACCCATTATAATAGTGGGTATGAAAATGAAATTGTATTGCAATAACATTGCAACAGAGTGTTTTTTAGATTACAATTCAATATGAGTGGAAATTTTAGACAAACGTGAACATAATGAAATTCTAGTTAAGTTGTCACAGAGATGGAAGGTGAAGTCTTGAGGAAGATGTTCATTCTTCAGTTCTTCTGTTAATGAATGAATATTCACTGCTGAGTGAATTTAGATTTGCCTTAAAACACTTTCTACCTTTTGCGTAGTTCTCTGGAACAAGATAAGAGGGGCAAGATTTTCACAATTATAATTGAATTTCTAGTCTTCTCAAGCTAGATTCCTTCATCAGGTTAACCAAAATGCTAACAATACAAGTTTTCTATGCTTTTAATGTTTCAGATCTATTCTAGTCGAGAACTTGAAGAAACGTTGAACAAAATCAGGGAAATCCTCTCAGATGACAAGCATGATTGGGATCAACGAACTAATGCGGTAAACTTTTTATCTGATTTTAATTGTGGGGTGAATGTATTTCATATAACACAGATGACTGGATATTTTAAAAAAATGTTCTTAGTGATTACATTCCTGAAAATCAAAGCCACTTTAATTTTAGATTCCAAAACCTTCAGTTTCCATGTATCAAATCATTTCTGAATAAGATTTTGCAAGGATTTTAAGAGGCTGAAATGCATTTTCTTGACTTCGAAGTGAAAACTTTTCCAAAAGCTATCGTGTATGGTGTTTGTTGTTGTTTTTTTTTTTTTGCATATTCTGCATGTAAACTGCTAACATTTGTAATTCTTATGTATGGCTATAAGTTTGATTTAAGGATTTAAGAATTAAAATGTTTCCTTTTGTATGTGGCATATATGTGTCTTTTGATCTAGTTTATGATATCTTAGTAGGTGTTTAGAAAAGGGTACATGAACAGAATTGTGTTTGTATATTTGTGGACTGGGATCTGTGACTTCAGCTCTAGAATTTCAGCAGTAGTTTTTTCTTCTTAACAGTTTCAAATTATTACCTTACACTTCAAAATGATTTGCTTGAAGTTATGTTCTTCTTCTATGGAATTACACTTTTATGGAAACAGTTGCACTCTTAATACATTTAGCATGGTTGTCTCAAGACTTATCTTATGCATGTCTCTAGTTTCAAAATGTTTATGTACAATTTTGCAGTAAATTAATACTTTTTTTATCTTTAGAAATACATATTAGTAGTGTGCAAAATGAAATGCTTTAAATTTTTTTAGCTGAAGAAAGTTCGGTCATTGCTTGTTGCTGGAGCTGCACAGTATGATGGATTTTTCCAGCACTTACGGTTGTTGGATGGTGCGTTCAAGCTGTCAGCCAAGGATCTTAGATCCCAGGTGGTTAGAGAAGCATGCATTACTGTAGCGTAAGTATAGTTTACGTGTGTTTGTGTACATTGCTAGACTTCAGTGTGAAATCGACTGTTGTAAGGTGCTTTACCAGTGTTGCAGGAAAGATTGTACAGTAGTCCAACAAGACGCTATTACTGACAGAGTCAAGATCTGAAGCCGTAGAGAAAATATCAAAGAAACATTTCAGAGGAATTTGTTCTTTTAGTTGATAAATACAGTCGATAATCCTCTAAAAGATTCTGTCTGAAGAACAAGTTAACATCACTAGACTAAGTACAAACAACTGTAAGTACTGCTGTAATATTGGGAACTAATATTAGAAGTACTTAAGTTTGGGTGATTGGCACAGGACTTCACTGTGACTATTTATAATAATAAAAAGAGCTCTCTGGTTTTTACAGCCCTTCCACTTGACTTTCATTGCTGGACATGCAATGTAAAAAGGAAAAAATTAAGTGAAAGTTTAAACAAACATGCTATGGTCTGATGGTCTGATATCTTTAATTTCCATGGCAATCTTAGAAGCCTTGGCTAACAGAAATAAGACCTGCACCCTTGTTATCTTGTGGGGTAAATTCAAGGGGGTTGAAGGGGAAGCCTTTTTTTTTCTTTTTCCTTTTTTTTTTTTTCATCAGAGCATTATTTCCCATTTCTATCTCCTCCCCCTTCTGTAAAGGCATTAATGTAGCCAGTAATATTTAGTGGCTATGTGAGACAGGTATGGCCCAGAATTCACCCTTGCTCTTCTAGCTTTCAGCTGAATGGATCGTGGAGGCCTATTGGAGCATAAAGCAATCCTTGACAGGGAAATTCAGGGCTTGAGAAAATAATCCAAAATCTTCCTAAGATGAAGTCAGTAGTAGCATAAGTATGTTGTGCAAATGTCCTCATCCTGGCCTAAAAATTTGGAATATTTCATGAGACCTAAAACATAGATGCATTTGATGTAATTTTCAGTAGGCTGTATTTTTTTAATACATGTATATGTAGTCTCTTTGCATGGCAGAAGTGTTTAATTGAAATCGTAATTTGAATAAATGAGGGAGATAGTTTTTATGGATGGCTAATCACAATAAACTCAGTAGTTTTGCCAGCATTGTAATTGAGAATATTAGCTTTTCAAGTTGCAGTATTGATTTTTCATTATGAAATAAAGTTATATAGTTAAGCCTTCTAATATGTCTGCTAAGCAACAGAAGTATTCTGCAAATCATAAAATCCTAGGATGGTTTGGGATGGAAGGGACCTTAAAGACCATGTAATTCCAACCTCCTGCCATGGGCAGGGACACCTCCAACGAGACCATGTTGCCCAAAGCCCCATCCAGCCTGGCCTTGAACATCTCCAGGGATGGGGCATCCATATCTTCTCCAGGCAACCTGTGCCAGTGCCTCACCACCCTCGCAGTGAGGAATTTCTTCCTTCTGTGTAATCTAAATCTACCCTCTTTTAGTTTAAAGTCATTGCTCCGTGCCCTATCACTACACACCCTGGCAAATAGTCCCTCCCCTGCTGTCCTGTAGCCCCCTTTAGGTACTGGAAGGCTGTTATGAGGTCTCCCTGGAGCCTTCTCTTCTTCAGGCTGAATAACCCCAATTGCCTCAGCCTATACTCAGGATAGGTTCTACAGCCCTTAATCAACTTCATGGCCCTCCTCTGGACTTGTTCTAATGCTTCCATGTCCTTCTGGTGCTGGAGGCCCCAGAACTGAACATAGTGCTCCAAGGAACTATGAAATCCTGTTTTTCCAATAAGGCAAGGTCTTGGAAATAATGAAATTAAGAAATGCTGTTGTTCGTAGAGAGATGTTTAAAATAACAAAGTTTATTGTACATTAAAAAATTAAAAGTACTGATTTTTATTAACTGATTTTCTTTCTTTCCTACATAGCCATCTTTCAACTGTTTTGGGAAACAAGTTCGATCATGGCGCTGAAGCTATTGTGCCTACTCTTTTTAATCTGGTTCCCAACAGTGCCAAAGTGATGGCAACATCAGGGTGTGCAGCCATTAGGTTCATTATTCGGGTAAGTGTTACTAGTTCAATTTTTTTGCTAGAAATGTTGACGTACCTGCTCTTACCAGAGATATGACTAGTTTGGAAATATTAGGATTATATAAACATTCTTTAAAATTCTAAAGTTTTTATTAAACAATGAAAAGATATTTTTATATGGTTGGACAATATTATTTATCACTAGCACAGCAATGTTACGGTAAAGGTAGTAGTAGTAGTATACGTTTTGAAAGCAAGTCTGTTTTCATGATTCTTATAGGAAAATCAAAGACTACTAGAAAGCAACATGAAATAAAAAAAAAATACCAAATTATATTATCTATTTGTTCAGTTCGGGTGAAGATGAGTGTACACATCAGCAATAGCTGCCGTGATTTTGTTAAAACTTCTGTTATTTTTAGCTGTAATTTAACATAGTAGATAAGAGGCATGGAGTTCATGCAGTGCATTCAAATTCCCAACAAGTAAGTGGTATATGCATTTTATTCTGACTGTCATACGATTCAGGCTTTAGTGGAAGAAGGAAAATGAATCAGTCTGGCAAAACACAGTCCCCACACTCTCCATGGATTTCTTTCCTTTGGGTTAAATGAGAGTAGTTGAAGGAAAGTGTATGATCAGTTTCATATTTAGATCCCAAGCCATTACAGCTTTTGGAGCCTGAGCTGTGCCTAAAAACTCAAACCAGAAAAGACTTAGAGCCATTTCGTATGTTGGTGCTTTAATATGGAGCTGCTGTGAGAGCAAGTCCACAATAAAAAGAGGGTGGTGGTATATTCATGTATGTATATTCAGCATTTTCCCAGTTATTTTGAAGAGCTCTGTCTCATCTTTGCCCCTTTATTGGACTTCATGTTTCATCTCCAGATAGTTCTTATGGTGTGGTCTTATTTCTTTTTAGACTTTTTTTTTTCAAATTACTGATTTAAATTGTGTATATTAAAAAAAGAAAAGAAAAAAAAAAGTTTTGATGAGACTGCATGGTGTTGGAAAATGTTTTCCAGTGGGAGGTGAGATTTAGGTTGGGCAATTGAGCTGCCAAGTGGGTTGGGAGGAAGGATATATCAGTGCAGCTTCAAAGGGGTATTGTAGGAAATGTGCAGTCTTAAAAACAAGCTTAAGCGCTTGAGTCCCTTGCCAAATATTTTCCAGAAAGTACACTGTTGATATGGATTTGGAACATACGAGTTTCTTCATACATTAAACCATTTTATTGTTTCCCTGCAACATTGCTTATTGTTCCCTGTCTAGCAGTGATATGCCAGTTAAATTTGAAAGCTATGCAAAGAAAAAAAAACTGTTTACAAATATATCAGTAGGAACAAATGCAACTGCTAGGCTTTACTGGGTTTTTGGACTCACTCCCTGCTAATTCTGAAGTTGGCAGTACTGGGAGAACTGCTAATTCTCTCTACTTTCTTGGTTTGTGTGTTTATACTCTGTAACAAGGAGAAAGGCTGATATATGCAGTGCATGGAATTGTTCTGAACTATAGTTTTTAAGCATTTTTTACAGCTACAATTTCACACTATAATGGAGGCTGTACGGATGTGTTGAATTATGTTACTCTTACTTGGGTTTAAAAAGGTAATACTTTACATCTACAATTAATTAAGATTAGCTGAAGGAAGCCTGCTTTAATTCTGGATGGAAGTATTGAATACAAGTTTAATGTAGTTTATTTTACCCACTTTAAGTGTTCAAGGGTTTTCCCGTGAGGATGGTAGGTGCTTCTGTATGGATTATGTATGTAAGTTTGCTTGGATTACATGACATATGTTATTTTATTGACATATTTTGCATTAAAAGGAATTCAGTGTTTTTAGCACTAACCATATTGATCCGTAAAAAGATGCCCATAGTTTCAGGTTGGTAATTGGCTTTTTGCTCCACAACTCTGATTTTAAGACTATGTCTATCATTCATTTATTTGTGTTTTCCCAATGGAAAGCTAATATAAGGACAGTTTAGAACTCCTCTGAGGAGATGGTTACATTTGAGCCTTCAGATATGACTTCTGACAGCTAAATATTGCATATTGTGATGTAGTTATTGATGGTATTGAAAGTGGTTTTTGCTTGATATTGGGGGGTGGAGGGAGGGGCGGTAGTTGATTCATACAGCAGCAACAGTCTCCCACTTAATACTGTTCTACATGTAGCTTCAGTATTTTAAAGTGATCAGTTGCTATTTTTATGACATTTCTAATTCTGTTCAATTACAACAACACAAATTCAGGAATGCCTTTGTCATTAACTGCTTTGTTATGATTTTTTTTTCAGCATACCCATGTGCCCCGACTCATACCTTTAATAACAAGCAACTGTACCTCAAAATCAGTTGCAGTTAGAAGGTCAGTATATTACAATATTCTCAAACAGCAAAATATTCAAGCTGTTGCTTTTTAAATACAATGATTGTATGTTGAAAATAAAAAGCTTTGAAGATGGATCGCTATCAGTCCTGAATACAAGAAACAATTATCTAATAAACAATAAAAATGAATTTCATCAAAGTTACTGAGGCATCGTGAAGGAAGGGTACTTTCTGACGAATTCAGGAACATACACTGTATCCTTCTGCAGAATTAATTCTAATTTAAAGTTTTCATAACACTTGTAAAAAGTACCTACTAATTTAAAACCATAAAGGTGGGAGGAGAAAGGTTGAATCTGTGGTGCTTAGGCTAGTAAGAAATCAAAACAGGTTTGAGAGGCATTGTGAGAGCATAAAACAGGTGTGCATGTCCTTGCAAAGAACCAGCCTGAGCCTGTTAATTGCAGTTTGAGGCACTAAGCCTGGCAGGCCTACTGTAGATGCACTCCTGCATATGGTGTTTGCCAGCACGTTGCTCTCTTGTTTCCAGGAGGACCTGATAAATCTTGTGCAATGCGGTGTGAATCCTTGGAACTAGGCTATGGCTGGCTCACACTGTGCCCAAATTAATAAGTCCACTATGCTGTGGGGTGAGGTTTGAGACACTGGTTGTTAGGTTAGATAGCACATGATAGATCTATCTGGTAGCATATTTAACTGCTGAGGTGCATCTTTTTAGCATGTTGTTTTTCCAAGAAAATGGTACTTAAAGATTTTGACTGGATCTTGAGGAAATTAATTGGATTCTGATAGAGTGTCGCTTTCTGCACAGAATCTCACAAAAGCAGTTAATGCTGTTTCTAGACCCACATTAACCATGAAAGCTGTGTAGCTGTGTATGTGCCAGAAATTGCCTGAGCGTCTAAACTGTTTACTCTGTTTAACCTGCCTTTGCACACAAAGCAAGTGTTGTATCAGCCCAGATTATTGATGTGTTTTAACTTCAGGTTTGACTGCAAAATAATTCCCATTGCTTCCACTTAATGTAGCCTTCTGAGGAGCACTAGCTGGCTTTTGGTCCTGCGGTACATAATCTGGTGATGATCAACAAAGGACCAAAATCGCATCATGTACCAACTTTGTTACTTTATAAAGAAAAACGAAATAAGTTACAGTAATGAGAAGACTTTGTAAGCCTTTCAGGGCTTTTTGCCATGTCTTACAGGTGCCCAAAAGATTTGGACAGAACAAAAATGAAATCTTTTCCTTCAGAACAGGTTAAAGTTGCAACATAACCAGAGAAAAAAAGTTCCCAGCAATAGAGTGCGCTACCTTTTGGAAGTCTCAGTTAACTGCACCTTCCTAATGTTTATCAGTTTAATTTATTCACCAGCATGTAGCTTCAAATGTATTTTAAAGTATGCCATTTGCTAATAGATATCTGCTAAGTTGTCAAAAATTCTAAATTAATAATAAATGCGGTTACATAACTTAGTGTGTACAGTGTCAGCAAACATTTAGGAGTGCTTTCTGTATGCATGTCCCTGTGTTAATGGTGTCATGTTTTCCTTCATGCTACACACTCAGTAATGATACGTGAAAGGGTGGGAGTGGTGTATGGGACAGAAGTACAATGCTGTATAAACATTAAGGTATAACTTAATAGCTGAATTCTTAGAGTACTCATTTTTATATTTAGATTTTATATTTTGAACAGTTTTTTAAGCTTTATTTGCCTCTTACTATAGGGCTAATAAAACGAACAGCATATGTGTAATAGCATTACTTGAACAACAGATGGCTAATTGAACCACATATATTTCTGAAATTTAGGGTTAGTTAGCTTTCATGTTTTCTTTGTATACCAATTATTTTAACTTTCCAGTAAGCAGACCAATGTCGTGATTTAACAGATCCACACATTTTTAGGTATTCCTTTCCCTCAGGGGGAAAGAATAAAGCTACTGGTTATTCTACAAGCAAACTGGAGGAAAGGAGTCTTAATTACAACTTATTCTGTCTTCTTAGGCGTTCCTTTGAATTCTTAGACCTGTTGTTACAAGAGTGGCAAACACATTCATTGGAAAGGTATGAGCTAATATTCTTTTTTTCCCCAATAATAAACTGCTAACAATTTTTTAAACGGGTCTTTTAATGGAATCCTTGAATTGGATTATGTTTTTTAATATTGGCCAGCTGTTGTAGCCTATACAGCCTTTCTAGGACAGGTGGTTACACGGCTTATTTAGGTGTCAGGGATGAAAGGTCTGTGTTCCAACTTGTCTTACTGCTGCCTTCCCTCCTTATCCTCCTTATCTCCCCTTTTCTCCTATACCCCGTGAGTAATGCATACAATGCTTTTCTAAGAGTCTCACTTCTTTAATGTATCCTAGGCAGTGATGTTGCTTGGGTAAGTGACTCTTTTCTCCTGGAAGGAGGGAATTTTTTTGTCTGCCATAAAAAGGGCAAGTGGGATTAGTCTGCAGGACTTTTTCCAGTAACAATGATTAAGAGCATATTGTAGCTCCTCCAAATAGATAGGAGTATACAGCAGCAGTGCAGCGTGTGTACTGTAAACATGGAGTAGAACCAGAGGAGGCTCTGAAGAGCTCATCCAGTTCCAGGGTTACCTTTTGTTCTGGTGAGGTCACTTGATTTATTTCAGTGTGTGTCTGTGTACAGATTTAAAAAAAAAAAAAAAAAAAGTTAAAATCTGTTCATCACTGCAATTTTTATTTGCTCTGACTGGGGTGTTTTGGTGTTCTTAGAGCATGTTCTGATGTTAGAAGTCCTATGCAAAAAGCTTTCAGAGATAGATTTCCAGGAAAGCAAACTTAGTTATCTCCCCCCGCCCCTTTCTCTTGCTATTGATGTATTAGGGAAAATATTTTTTCAATTTCAGTAAAGTTATTGTCTTTTAAAATAATATTTTTGGGGGAACTTTGAAATGCTATAGGTGCACGTGTCTGAAAAGTAGATTATAATTCTTTTCAGTGGAATGTGGAAGTGATTTGGAAGTGATTAGTCTTGGTGTGTCCTCTTCTTCCCTGTTCCCATTAATTATTGTGGGTATCACCATCATTTTAATAAGGTTTTTGATTAAAAACTTAAGATGGTTGTCATACTGATTTTTTTTCTTTTTCCTGATGACCAAAAAGTATTTAGATTCTTTACAACACATGCAGCATAGTGTAGCAGTTTAACACCTTTAATTAAATAAAATAAAAAAGGTGATACCTTGGCATTACTGGTACTGCTTTAACAAGGTGATATTGTGATTGCTTAAAATAATTTAAGGGAAATAGGGAAACTATTGTCTAACTAAAAAAATCATTGGGACTTTGTCCAAATGAGTCAGTCAGCTTTGAGACTTTGTTATGACCGTATCTTCATTTCTGTAAACCTATGTGTAAGATAACTGAGTGACTTAAATTGATTTGCCACAAAGTCAAGTTCATGTTTCATATTGGTGCATGATTTCCAGTTAAACTCTGTGGTGTCTAACCCTGCACACTTGTGCGAGTTCTTGTGTTGTTTTTTTTTTTCCCTTTCCTGGGATACTTGTAATGTCTTGTAAAGAGAAGTGTATTATCACTAATTCACACATGAAGACATGAAGTGATTCATAAGCCATCACAGTCTGTGGCAGAGCTTGGAATTGAACTGAGCTATCTTATAACTGTATGGCAACATAGATCGTAGATTGTTCTTACCTAATGTTGCAATTATACTCTATAGGTGGTACACAGACTTTTTTTAATTTACCACTACTAGGACCATGTTTTGAGTAAATAGTCATTCTGGAAACATTGTTACATTTTATATTGTATTGTTGTATTGCTTCTTTTAATGCCTGGTTGATGCAAATAAATGCACTATTAAAATGTGTGGTTACATGTATTCAGAATTTCAAAGAACAAGCTTAAGAGGCATTTCAACTTTTTATTTGTTGAAGAAAATGAAAAGTATGCCTTGGTTTGTTTTGTGTTTTTTTTTTTAATTTTTAAATTATTTTTTAACTTCTGCTTGCCATGATCACAGGTTTTTTACTTCTTCAGAAGATATAGATGCTACCTTCAGATGAGGAAATTGCTAGAAGCTTACTTAAGCCTCTACAGAAGGTGCACGTCAATGTTGTACTTAAGCATTTGTTTATTTCATACCTTAGAACTACTCTCTCAGCGATTATTTTATTTAGTATTTCTCTTAAGTAAATCTTCTATTTCAAATTGAATTTGTAGAAGCAAAATTAGTACAAAGAATGTCCATCTTCTAGGCATGCTGCAGTCTTAGTTGAAACGATCAAGAAGGGCATTCACGATGCTGATGCAGAAGCAAGAGTGGAGGCAAGAAAGTAAGTTTTGACTACTTTTTGTTCTGAAAATTTGGCAGTTTTACATGAGGGATAGAAGAGTCTAAATAATACAGTATGTATCAGCCATATTTGGCTGATCACCTCTGAAGAAGAGGGAACAAGTTAGGTTGAAAAGTGACATTTCTTTTCTTGGAGTCTTGAATTGATACCCATTTTCTGTCACACACACACACAAAAAAATGTTCTAAAAGTTGAGGAAATTACTACCCTCTTACAGCATTTGAGGATTCTCCTGAAACAGGAGTGATAAAAGTTGATATTGCTGTATAATCATTCCTTTCTTCTGTGAATGAACTCCATCAATAAACTGCAGTGCTTTGACTGGTTGGGTGGACTAGAGAATTTTTCTTGGTTACCCTTGGAACCAGTAAGTGAACCTGAGAGTTTCAGAGGATAGAGTTACTTTAAAAATATTAATTCAGTCAATATTTCATGCTTTTTTATGATTTGGTGAGCAAAGTTGTACGTATTACATATTTTCGATCTGAGTTCCTTTCCTGAAAGACTTGTCATCTTTTACTTTCTGACTATATTTTGAAGAAAATAGAGCCATTATATTTGGTTATTCTCTTATTTTGCAGGGCTTACCTGGGTCTTAGAAATCACTTTCCTAGTGAAGCAGAAACTCTATACAACTCTCTTGAACCACCTTATCAAAGAAGCCTCCAGACCTACTTGAAGAACTCTGGCAGTATAGCATCTCTTCCTCAGTCAGACAGGTCATCCTCCAGCTCTCAGGAGAGCCTCAAGTAAGAGTCACGCAACTATTTCTGAATCTAAACAAATAAAAGCTTTCTCAAATGAAAAAAAAAAAATTTATTCAAAGACCAATTGCTCTTACTTAAATTAATCTATGTTGCCTATCTGAAAATCAGGGTATCGTTAACAATTTACTAATAATGAAATATTAAAAACTAAGTTACAGAGAAATTGGAATCTTAATATTCTTAAATTCTCAGGTAAGTGTTACTTCCTCTATTGCAGGATATTCAAGTTGCCAATTGTTTGAACATAAACAATACAGAAAGGAAGGGGTAAAATGAGAACTAAGAGAAAATAAGATATTGGAAATACATTTTAATTGAGTTTTCAGTAATTTTGCATTAAGATGCATGTTATTTTACCCATTTAACACAGTTAAATTTCTAGCTTCTAATATAGTTACTGAGTTCTCCCTGCATTTGCTAACTTATGGGTGTGGTTTTGCTAAAAGTCTGATCCTTCATGATTTTTGAACCCCTGTACTTAGAAATTTTCTTGATCGTGGATTGACAATAATTTTAAATTGAATTATGGGATGAGGAAGTTTGGCTACTTCTTACAAAACCAGCTCTACCTATATGAAACTGATTTAATGAAATGTCAGTCACAGTAGATTGTGTAAGTGCTGAAATTGTAACAATTGTCTGTGTCTTCTATTTGGAGCTCCTTGTAAGGATGTATGCAGGATTTACTTGCAGCAGAGTATCTCCAAAACAGCAGTTATTAATGTCAGGAAAGCATGGATAGTTTATATTAAGCTGCAAAAACTTGATATTTCATGAAGTGTTACCAAACAATTCTGACTTCCATATTACCTTTGAGCACCTGAGCTAGTAACTCGGGTAAATGTACAGTATTATGCAACACCCAACACCACCCCCAATATTAAATTTAGAATGGCTTTTTTTTCCCATTTTTTTTTCTCTTGCCTGACTTAAAACTGAGATTCTAGACTGCATGGTTTTAGTTTGACTATTGATGAAATGACTACAGACCTTCCCAAGGAGATATTTAGATGGCTATAGATGAATCAACAAATAAAGTATCATGCCACTCACTGTTTTGCTCATCTATCTGCTACTTTGTTCTGTTAGACTTCTGCCTTTCTCTGTTCCTGCTGGCTGCATTTCAGCATTTTGAACCAGGCAACTGGAAGGGCTCACAGTTTAACTTAAGTAGTCTGAACGATTATGCTTTGCCAACTACCAGCTTTTACAGTAAAAGTTAAGGGGGAAAATGGAGAGAAAACAGAGGAAGAGGCATGCTTTTTTTTTTTTTTTTTCTTTAATGAACCATGGGAACCTCTAGCAGTCAAACAAGGAGAATTCAATCTAGCTGCTTTGTGGTTCCAGCATATTTCTTCTTAATTTGTAACTGAATTCTAAGCTATGGGACTGGAGAAGGCTTACAAATGATTCACCTCTTTTCACTGTTACTGCAGACACAACATAATTTCTTTCATACATCAATCTTTTTGTTTAGCTCCCAATATTTTTGTATGATGGATGATTTAGAAGATCAAGCCTGTGGTTAAAACAATGTAGTGGTTACCTTAAATGTTTCTGTGACTGGAACTTTGTATTAGCAAAGTATGCTTAGTATTTATCAAAGGATGAATGCTTTATGATGAAGATGTAAGTCTATAAAATGTAAAAGATAATCTAATAAGATGATTGTGTTTACCTTAGCAGTCTGTATGTAATGTTTCTCCAAATTATTCAGAAAAAGTAGAAGGGAAAGAGGGGAAAAAAAAAAAAAAAAACACAACAGAACACATTGTGTTTTCCCTCTCAGTTCACTGTGTGTTGTTGCTTTTTGGATCTGATATACCAGACACATTTTTAAAAGCCCTTACTAACTGGGTTTATTGAATTTTTTTCTTCCAGTCGTCCTCTATCTTCTAAATGGTCTGCAGCCAGCCCAGCAAGCCTTGCAGGCAGAGGTAAACCTATGCTATACAAGCACGCAACACTTGTTCTTTAAAATTCTTTGAATTATAAGTTTAAAATGCAACTTAAATTTTTTGATGTGTTTTATGGTTTTTATGCTCAGATTTTATGTATTTTTCAGTTTTTGAAAGTAAGAAATATAATTTGCTCTGTATTGGAACCATTCATTAATAATCTTTTAGAGTTGTCATGGAGTTGTCATTCTCAAAGAAACGAAGCATTATTCTGTTGTCCATTTGTTATAATCAGGCTTATCACAATTGGATCTGAAGGACTCCTTATATCTTTCATTTATTCCCAAGTAGCTGCTGTTCTTTATAGAGAAGGGATTCTAAAAAAAATAATAAAAATAAAAACCACCACATAAAAAAAACGTAGATTGAAACAGTTCAATTTTTGTCTTGAGTTCTCAGAGTTGAATCTTTGTTCTGTTATTACAGGATGTCTTTGTAATTCTAGCCAAGGAAATCATAGAACTCAATTACTGGCCACTTGTAAAAATGAGAGTGCTTGTTTTCTGAATACTGAAACAATTATGGGGGAGAAACCAATGAAAGTTAACTTAAGAGAGTAGTTAACTTTTGACACGTAACAGGAAGTGAATAAAAAACATTTTACAAAAGATTAAGCCCAAAGTAACTCATAGTATTCATTCAGCTTGCACAAGGCTTTACTTTAGCTGGTGTGGAAATGTTATCTTCTCTCAGTATCACAAAGGATGCTGTGAATTTTGTTACATTTGTGAACAATTTAGTAATGTAACAACACTCAGAAATGTCCATTATTACCTCATTTACATTGGGGGGGGGGGGAGGAGCACATACTGTTAAAAGATAATATTTTGTCCTTAAGATTTTTAATAATGTAAAATGAACTGTTCTTTATCTGCACTTCATGGCTAAAATTCTAGTATTTTGCTACCTCTTGGGCACATTTTTTTTGCTTAGTGTCTTTTTAATCCTGTGTTTATATTGACTTGACTTACATTATATGACATTGCTTTCTGTAATTTTTGCAGGTATTATGTGGCAGTAGAAAACACTAACCTTGCAAATAAAATTCATTCTATTTCTTACCAGCTAATTTGCTTGTTTGTTAGTTTCAGGCAGCAACAAGAATGTTCCAAGCCCAGGAACCCTGCAGAGGTCTCGCAGTGACATTGATGTTAATGCTGCTGCAGGTGCAAAGGCTCGCCATGCTGCTGGACAGACAGCTGGAGCTGGGCGCTTGTCAGCAGCTGGTCTACCTCCAGGATCTTACGCTTCACTAGGTGAGAGAAACATCTTTACTACACTGTGAAATATTTTTTGAGGCTTTACATTAAGAAGCTATGGGAAGATGCTGCTTTTTTTGAAAAACTGTCACTGTTAGTTTTGTTGGAATGTTGCACAAGAAGATGTCTTCTTGTGTAAGTTGCTGATTTTGCTGGATTTTTTTTCTTGTGCTGGAAGAATGCTGATGTAAAACATATCTGTACTATGATCTTTAAATGTGTTAATCTGGAATTATACTAAGCATTGGACAGTGATAGCTTCAGTTAACAGCAGGTGGTGATCATGGCTTTTTTTGCTTCCAGAAGTAATCAGGAAGTCGATGTCAGAACTCTTCCTGTTTTTTCTCAACTCTTTAGCGTTGTTGTAAAATAGTCAGCTAATGAGACATCTTTGTGTTAAGTAGTGGCTGCTTCGTGTAATACAAGAGTAGTTTTACACAACAGTATACAATGCTGATTTCAGAGGAATCTTCTGAAGCATGTTCATGAAACAGCATGCAAGTTTTTATCTACGTGATAATCTTCATTGATAGGAATGCTTGCTGTTAGAAAGTTCTAAAGATTACAAGCTAGTGGGAAAACACTTCTGGTAGTGGTGGTTTTTAGATACTAGAACTTCCAAGATTAAATTAAATCAGCCTGTGGGGAGAATAAAAGAACATGAGGCATGTCACTGAGAGGGTAGTTGGGTGCTGGAACAGGCTCCCCAGGAATGTGGTCACAGCAGTGAGCATGTCAGGGTTCAAGAAGCATTTGGACAATGCTCTCAGACGTAGGGTTTGATTTGTGGGTGGTCCTATGTGGAGCCAGGAGTTAGACTCACAAGGATTACTGAGTCCCTTCCAACTCGGGAGATTCTATTATTCTATGTTTCTGTTTTTGTTTTTTGTTTTTCTTTAGGCTATCCATAGTATAGGGGAGAAGTTCAGTGTTTAAAAAAAAAAAAAACACAACTGTCTAGTTTTTCTTCTGAACATGTATACCTGCTAAATTGCCAAGGGTGCAAGTTCTAATAGCTGTATTGTCAAGCATGATCACAGGAGAGGCAGAGGAGTTCATATATATATTATAAACAAAAATTTTTGAATGTAACCTTTTCAAAAATTTTTAACCTTTACTTTTCAATTGATGTTGTGTTTTGGTAGATGATAGTATACGCTTAACCTATGTTTTTCATTTTGGTTGTGTTCTTTAATTATAATTATAGTTAAAAACTATTTTAAATGAGTTCACAGAATTGAAGGGGTTGGAAGTGACCTTGAAATATCATTGGGTCCAACCCTCCTGCCAAAGCAGGTTCCCTAGAGCAGGGTGCCCATGTAGGCATCCAGACTGGCCTTGTATATCTCCACAGAAGGAGACTCCACAACCTCCCTGGGCAGCCTGTTTCAGTGCTCCATCACTCTCACCATGAAGAAGTTCTTTCGCATGTTGGTGCGGAACTTCCTGTGCTCTATCTTGTGACCATTACTCCTTGTCCTATCCCTTCAAACCACTGAAAAGAGGTTGGCCAAATCCCTCTGTCCCCCACACCTCAGGTATTTATACACACTGATGAGATCCCCTCTCAGTCTTCTTTTCTCCAGGCTGAACAGACCCAGGTCTCTCAGCCTTTCCTTATAAGGAAGATGCTCCAGGCCCCATATCATCTTTGTGGCCCTCTGCTGGACTCTTTCCAGGAGATCCCTGTCTTTTTTTGTACCGGGGAGCCCAGAACTGGACACAGTACTCCAGGTGAGGCCTGACCAGGGCAGAGTAGAGGGGGGAGGATCACCTCCCTTGACCTGCTGGCCATGCTCCTTCTAATGCACGCCAGGATCCCATTGGCCCTCTTGGTCACGAGGGCATGCTGTTGGCTCATGGTCAACCTGTCGTCCAGCAGGACCCCCAGGTCCTTCTCCTTAGAGCTCCTCTCCAGCAGGTCATCCCCCAGCCTGTACTGATACATGCAGTTGTTCCTTCCCAGGTGCAGGACTCTACACTTGCTCTTATTAAACCTCGTTTGAATTTCTTCCTGCCCATCTCTCCAGCCTGTCCAGGTCTTGCTGAATGGCAGCACAGCCTTCTGGTGTGTCAGCCACTCCTCCCAGCTTTGTGCCATCGGCGTACTTGCTGAGGGCAGACACTATTCCCTCATCAAGGTCGCCGATGAAGATGTCGAACAAAACTGGACCTAGCACTGACCCCTGGGGAACACTGCTAGTCACAGGTCTCCAGCCGGACTCTGAGCCGCTGATCACCACCCTCTGAGCTCGACTAGTCAGCCAGTTCTCAACCCACCTTGCTGTCCACTCATCTGTCCCACACTTTCTCAGCTTTGCTATCAGGATGTCCTGGGAGACAGTATCGAAAGCCTTGCTAAAGTCAAGGTAGATGACATCCACTGCTCTCCCCTCATCCACCCAGCTGGTGATGCCATCAAAGGAGGCAATGATGTTGGTCAAGCACAACTTCCCCGTGGTGAATCCATGCTGACTACTCCTCATAACCTTTTTCTCTTCCAATTGCTTGGAGATGGCATCTAGAACAAGCTGCTCCAATACCTTTCCATGGACAGAGGTGAGACTGACTAGCCTGTAGTTTCCCGGATCCTCCTTCTTGCCCTTCTTGAAGACCGGAGTGACATTGGCTATCCTTCAATCTTCAGGCACCTCTCCTGTTCTCCAGGACCTTTCAGAGATGATAGGGAGCAGTTCGGCAGTCACCTCTGCCATCTCCCTTAGTACACGTGGATGCATCCCATCGGGAGCCATGGATTTGTGGGCATTGAGCCCACTCAGATGCTACTGAACCACTCCCTCATCAACAAGGGGGGAGATTTCCACTTCCCAGACTCTTCCTCTTCCCTCCAGGACCAAGGAGTCCCGGTGGGGAGTCCTTGAAGCAAAGAAAGCATTCAGTATCTCTGCCTTCTTGGTGTCTCCCATTGCCTGGAGACCCCCCTCGTTCAGTAAGGGACCCACATTATCCCTAGTCTTCCTTTTACTGTTTACATACTTTAAAAAAAAAACCTTCTTATTATCTTTTATCTCTTTTGTAAGCCTCATCTCTAGGTGGGTTTTAGCCTTCATTGTCGCATCCCTGCAGGCCCTGACAACACTTCTATACTCCTCCCAACGTTGATTGTTTTGTCATCGATTCCTACTTGAAGTGGTCTAAACTTCACTGATTTTAGGACCAAGTTTGAGTATTGGCAGTGCTGCTGAATAGTCTCCTTAAAACAGGCCTTTAACATAGGAGTGTGGGCTCCCTCTAGTGCCCACGGTGTGAATCAGAACCTGCTGGGAAGAAGACGGACATCAAAGTTAGGCTGCTCAGTTTGCTTGGTGGAGGAGATAGGCTTGTTGTCGTTATCACTTGAGGGCATTCTCAGTTCCTCCCAACGTAATCTCTAAAAGTCGGAAATAGGTGGGATGATTATTCTTCAAGTTGAGAGTGTTGCTTAGTTTGTTTTGGAGTGCAACAGGATGTATTCTGAGTCATAGATGAAGCTGAAGTTGACTTATCATAGGAAAATATAAGTGACAAGGAACATAGTAGCAGAAGGAAGAGTAGGATGGAGAAATGTCAAGCAGAAAACAGGGACTGCTTCATTCTTAGAAGTTTCACAGAAATTTAGCTCTTAGAATATTTTTTGTTGTTGTTTGTTTTTTTCATAGTGTCCTGGGCAATGTGTGGTTTATGCCAATAATTTCAGAAGCAGGGGTTGAGAAAAGCACAGAGGTTTTCAAGGAAGTAAATGGTGGTGGTGTTATTCAGGGAAATAATCGAGATAAAGAAACAGCATATTCTTGTTGTGGTTTGTAGATGGGGAGTGGTGAATACATGGGCAGTAAGTCCAAGTCAGCTTTTTCTTGACGGATTTGAATAGCTGGAAAGATTTGTCTTTCTGGCAGATGGAGTCCGGAAAGATGTAGAAAAGAATACAGTGTTGAATTGAAGTGATAACATAATGTGATACTAGCAATAGAAAGAAGAAAAGTTAAATCCTATTATGGATGGTATGAGGGTAGTAATAGTGAAGGAGACAAAGGTTTATTTAGAACCACGCAAAAGGAGTACTTTTCAATTTCATCCTGACACATTCTCATGCTTATTTAAAGAGAAACATCTACCTGTTGATTAAACCACTGAAAATTGTAGAGCCTCAGACAACGAGTTCATAAGCATAATTGCAATTGTCTCCACTTACCCCTTCCCACTTTATTATTAATAGAGTAATTCTTATTTGTATCTGTATGCTCTTGTAGTTTTTATTTTGTTGTTGTTGTTTAAGACCTGTTCTAGAAGCAGGAGGACATTCTCTACTTTAGAAATTCTGAATGTTAAGGATAGCAAAGCTAGTCAATTATTAATGTCCTTTTTAAGGAGACTTGAGCCATAATTGTGTATCTCACATTAAATATTTTAATTCTGATTTTTACTGTCAGAGTATGCACTGCACTCCCACTGAACTGGTAAATCTTTAATGCTTTAAACTAGAGTGGAACTTTCTCCCATTTTGCCTTTGTCTTTATTGTGATGTTTATTGCTGTTCTGCCCCTTACCCAATGAAGGGACTTCATGTGAAGTACCAAGATTTGTAGAAAATGAAAATATTGTAGTTCTGTAATGGCATAAACGTATATTGATATTTCAGTAGCTGTTGAACACCAAGCAAGAAACAGTTGATTAATATCTTAATATAAGGGCTTGCTCAAATCTGGGTAATACAGAGAAGATTCAGTATCCCTTGCAGGGTACTTTTACCCCATTCTGTAATACCTTGGGCTGAGGGAAACCGATTTTACTTAAGTTAGCTTATACATGCACAAATTAGATAGACATGTCTGCTGATTTAATATTAATGTATTTTCCTTAATTAATATTTTATGACTCTGCTGTGAACACCTTTATTCTAACACACTAAGTTTTCCGTGTTTCTTTGCCTACTTTTTCAACAAAGAGGATACTTCTGACAAGATGGATGGTAAGAAATTATTTAGTCTGCCTTCTAATTCTATTAATTATTTTAGTCTTTTATGTGAAATATTTGATGTTTACTGCATGTCTGTTGATTAACAAATACTGTAGTATTTCACTAATGCCTATGCAATCTTTGTCTTAATATGTATGTTGTATATATGTATTTGTTGTTTTGAACGATCTGTATAAGCAACAGAAACTTTATCAGAAATTGGATATTACTCCCATTTAAAAAAAATAAATAAAAGCTCTGTTAATTACGGATCAATTCTGTAATGAATAAATGCCTTAACTAGCTCTAGTTTCATTATGTTCTTCCATAGCTTCACCTTTAAAGTCTTTTTTTTTGACTTTTTGGCAGAACAGCAGAAGAGGCAGATAATTATGTGCTTTTAAAACAAAAGTAAAATCTTACTTTTAAAAATACTCCATCAGAATCTGTTTTAACCACATAATTTTAAGTATCTGTAAGTCATATAATCCTATGTAATTCTATTCAGTAATAGTTTATTAAGAGGAACTACCTGTTTAAATTGTTTACCAAGTATTCCAGCTAAACTTGAGTGCTAACTTTCTTAAAACTCATGGAAGGAGTTGGCATATGTTTTTATCCTAACTGCAAAACCACAGAGAATCAGGTTTCTTATAGCGCTCATTGTACTATTTCAGGTGTGTGCAAGTATTACTTTCCATATAATGAAGTGACAGAGTCCCAGCTTGAGGCTTGATAATTCTGATTGTAATTTATTGCTGGGGAACACTTTATAAGTCAACTATGTTTGCTAATTAATTCATAATTTTTGGCATATGTTATTTTAACAATATATGCTTTGAAGAACGAGCAATTTACTGGAAGCAAGGCAGGTATTGTTTTCCTTTTCTTAGATTACTGAGTCTCCTGAGGAAATAATTGTACAAAATACGCATAGAAATGAAAACAGTAGGAAGGTAGACCTCTGAAAACCCTGAATCCCAAGCGATATGAAAGTGCAGATCTTCAGTTTCAAGAGCTACGTTGGGAAAGAATTTTAACCATTTAGGAGTATTGCAAATGGCCAGCATACTTTAATAAGATATGATTTTTCTCGTGCAGTGTTGTAGTGTCTTTCTCACTTGCTTCCATATCAGATTTCCTTGTATTGCATTAGATTTAGTAGTGTCTTTCTCACTTACTTCCATATCAGATTTCCTTGTATTGCATTAGATTTAGGCTGTATGTGCCAAATGTTTATTTACTTTTATTAGTTTTTGCACATTTTCACCAGGAGTAAAATTTCTGATGGACACGTGTATAGGCTTTTTCTTTTATTGAGACCAGTAGTCACACCTAGTGGCAGGTGTCCCGCACATCTGTTTAGAAGTAGGGAAAGTGCTACGCAGTTGATCAGAGCAACATTTTTTTTTCTGTAGGATAATCTGTAGAGATGACATGCAAGACAAAATCAACACACCTTGACTCTCAAACTGTGGTTTATGGTCTGATCTAACCTGCAAGAAATAATTGTTTTTCCTTCTGCCACTAATCTTTCACTAGTTCTTCGTAATACTCTGTTATGAACCACTGGAGCTGAACAAACTCTGGAAAACTCATTACATAAAGCAGAAATGAATAGTACATTTTGCTGTGTTTGTTGTTGTTGTTATTGTTTGTTTTTTTTTTTTTTTTTTTTTTTTTCTTTTAGCTCTTGGAACTGACAGTGATCTTTCAGCTGTCAGCTGTCTAAACCAGGCACAAAGACAGAGAAAGGAGAAGCAGAACTACCCCTTCTAGGACAAGCTAGCTCTGTTAGTCTGGCTTAGGTGTTGCTGAGAACAGTTTTCCAAGATGCAGCTGTAGAAGAATGTTATTTTTTGGTGGTTGTTGTTGTTTTTGTTTGGTTAGTTTTTGTTTTGTTTCTTAAGGCAGACAAACAAATTTGATTTAGGAAAACTGAGGATCACCTGCATAAATATTTCTGTAACTGATTTTGTGAAGAAGGATCAAAATTTACACCAAGCAACATTTTAGAGGGAGTGGCTCAAGGATACTATAATATGAGTAAGTCAGTGCTAGGAAGATTCAAGATAGCAGAAGGTATTAATCATTAGAGTTCTCCTAAAAGGCAAGAGCAGTATAGAATTCCCAAAAATGGGATTACCCTTTTGATTTTTAATCCATTTTTATCACTGATAGTGTATATACATTTTTCATAATAAGCAGATCTATTTCAAGAGACCTTAGAGTTCAGATAGTTTCTCATAAATTCATATGTACTGATGTCAGATTTGTCTGGCTCATTTTGTCACTCTACCCTTGTTAAACATGGCATACTTCTTCAAGTGTGATCTGGTTACAGCATGCTCAGTTTATATCTAATCACTTCTCTGGGCAAAACTTGATATCATATATGTAGATTTTTAGAATAGTCACAGAATTAATTCATAGTAATACTCCTTCACTTTTTATTGAAATATCACTGTCCAGTGTGGGAAACGCTGTTCTTTTGGTATTTTTCTCAGAGATGATTTAAAACAGTATGTCTTATTTTTTCAAAAGAGCTGGTACTAGAATATTTGTAATGTCTGTTTTGATCAGGATCTCATTTAATTGGCTTTGTTTTTTTTCCCCCTATTTTTGTTTCCCATGTTTTTGTGACAAATTTGGAAGGTGGTGCTATGTATTAACTTACTGTAAAACACTAAAAGTGTAGTATGGATGTTTCTTGATAATTCTGCTTCAGTTCAATAATGGAGTTGCAACACAAGCTTTGGAGTTCTTCCTGACTTGATAAAATTTCTCCAGATTCATGACATTAATCTCAAAAAAGGAATTGAAGACACAGTACTGTTTTGAATATCATGTATTTTATTATTTTTTTTCTGTTTAGGAACAGCTTCTGAAGATGGTAAGAAAATATTTTGTTAGAACAGCTAATATTTTCAGCTTCATATTTCCATTGATACAAATTAAGCTTTGAAAGTAGAATGTGGTCTTTCTGGGGCTTTGTGGAGATTCATAACTTCAGATAGCTTATGCATCTAATACTTGGTTGTCATAGTATTTTAAAAATTCTTTTGCTTTTATTTTAATTCTGAAGTACTCATCTGCAATAGAAGTGTAATTGCTTAACATTTTCAGTGTGAAAATATAGGAGCTTTATAGGTCTTTATTTTTTTTTAAAGCAAATTCTGTCACAAAAATTCATCAAATGTGCTTATGCTCTGGGAAGCAAGTGCTGCTATTCCTCATTTCGTAGAGACTTGGTAATTAATTTTCAATGTGATGTTAATGTTTAAACCTGTCATTAGTGAATGGATGGAGAGATTCGATGTGAGTGAACTCTTTTGCCTTACAAATGCAAAAATTGTTGTTTTTACTTTGAAATTGAACCGGGTTACAATTGGTAATTTCACATAGCAGTGAAATAGTGGCACTCTGTATTCCCATGTTTTTGGGCCAAATTCTGAACAAAGTTACATGCCTTGCAGTCTCAGCATTTCGTGGGAAAACATTACCATTGCATGGGGATAACTAGTAGAGTTTGGACTAGTTCGTTTAACTAGTCTTGCTAACAGATTGTTTTCTAGTAGTTTAGTGAATAACCTCCTTTATCCTGATTCTCTTCTTATAGACTCTCATCTATGGCTATTCCCTCTACTTGGATGAATATTATTAACTTGGTTGGTCTCCAAATTCTGGTGTGGAAAGCTTAAAGAGGCTAGAACTAAATAACAGTCTGTCAACCTAATTATTATGGGTCAAACATTGACTCTCTGTGTCTAGAAAACATTTTAATTATGCCGTTTGTAAAAGTGGATTACTTGCTGAGCTAGATCCATTTTGCACAAGCTTTTTGGGTTTCATTTATGAAACTTTGAAGAAGTATGGTTAGCATTGTGTGTTTGTTTTCTTTTTGTTTGTTTTTTTTTTTTTTACTGTTTTGAGAGGTTGGCATAGGAAACAGTACAGAACTCTACTAGGTGTTTTTTTCCTTTTTTTTTTTTTTTATGAATAATCCTTTGGTTTCTTATAACTCATATAACTCATCCAACAAGGGTCTTCCTAACCTTGTTAATTCCACCAGACTCACTAAACATAGTGGAATATGGCTAAAAATGCAGAAAGATTTAACCCTGAGATAAGATCGTTTGGCATACTGGAGAGAAGTGAATTCATTGTTTTAGTTGTTCTTCCTCAGCTCTTCTATCTGTTGAGAGGAGTAGTATTCTTTATATCATGCTGACACTTATATGTACTTAAATGTACTTAGACTTTGCAAATTGCTGTAAACAAATGGATTGGAAAATCCAGCAGAAGTCACTATGACCAAAGCCAAGAAGACAGTAGAATCCCCAGTAATAGGAAAGCTAGTATTCAGGTTTATAAAAAGAATACTGAAGCTAAGAAGAAGCCTGAGAACCCTATTTGACAGATATCAAATGAATCTTGACAGATGATCAAGATTCATTTTGTGGTTGATGATAGCAAAAGTAGAATTACAGCCAAAAGTAATTATGAGAGGACTGTATCTGCTACATTAGTGGATATATTGCCTATTGTATTTCACGCTTTTCCCTTTTTATAATGTAATCAACGTATTTATACAGGAATCGAGATCTAATTCAGCACGTTTAAATGGTAATGTGTAAATTGTTTACTGAAGCATGTAGCATTAGAAGTATTTTGATCCCTCAACTCTGAAGTCTTTCAAGGTGTTCAAATATCTACTAATTATCCCAAGTGAACTTTCACCAGTTATGTTGTGCTTTGTTTTTATGTACAGAAACATAAGAAAATATTAGTAAATGCTACCAATGCTTTGCTTTCTACATTGCTGTGGAAAAACTCATTTAATGCAAATTTTATTTTATAGGTCGTGTACGAACAAAGCTTTCAACACCGTCTGTTGGTATTGGAAACTCTAAAACAGATTCCAGAGGACGGAGTAGAACCAAAGTGGTCTCTCAGTCTCAGCGTATGTATTTTCTGTTTCTCAGATATATTTGATAAAGAGGCCAAATGCTTAAGCATATATTCATTGACCAATGGCTACAGTCAAAGTTTAAAAAAAAAACAAAACAAAAAAAAAGCTACATACTGAGTTGTTGTTCTATGCCTTAGGTTCTTCATCGCCAGAGAAAAATGAAGGTATTTTTTCAGTGTTTTGGGTCAGTGGTATTTGCATGCTTTTCTGATTCATGTTGTTTTTCTCTGGGCAAAATACTAGGCTAGGTCTTAGTTTGCCAGTTCAATTAGATAAAGTAACAGGAAATGAAACTCTGTCCTCAATTATAACTTCTCAACATTCTTCCCTCCTTCCCACCCCCCTGCCACCCAACGCACAATACCAGTAAACATCTGTGTCAGTTACATATTCTACATTGACAAGTAATACAGAAAATTGGGTAGGCTGAATGGTGCCTTCAATGTTAGCTTTAAAACCTAATCTTTCATTTTTCAAAAAGTCTTACTTATTCAGCCAGAAATGCCAGTTTTTATTTTAGGCTAGGCTCTAGCTCTTGGGTGTATACTCATTTTTGGTATTGCAGACATTACCTATACTTAATTATTCTTTGGAGTAAAAAACACTAAACCCTGACTTCATAATCGATTCTTTAGCTTGCATTGAAATAAGAAGTTTGAAACAAACACCATATTGTACATCAGCTGATCCACAACAGTTTTCTGTGTGTGCTTAGAAACCAAACCAAATGCAAAATTTCTGATCTAGTTGAGCAGTCTGTTGTTAATTAAAAAGACCCGACTGCTTCACATTCTTTGGTGCTGGCTGACCTATAGTAATCTGTTCATGTTATCTGATGTCTGCAGCAGATGTCTTCTGACTAACCTACCTGTAGTTTTCAGACTTCCTTCATCTCATTTAGTGAAATGCATTGAGCATCTTTTAATTAAATGAAATGCAATGTAATCAATGAAAGAAAAAGAAACTAATGATAAAATTTAAGTAAATTAACCAATCCTATAGTTTGACAAGACAAATGTTATAAAGCTAGTAAGTTATATGGGCTTTGAATTTTGTAATTATTTTTGCCATGACTAACAATATCAACTTTACTTTAATAAACCCCCTTAATTCTGTGTTTAATGGCAGAAATGTTTATGTTAGAGTACTTCCCATTCAGTTTTGCATTATAGACTTCGTTTTCCATAAATTACAGTTGGATTAAATCTGCTCCAATGCTTGCATTTTTTGTGAAATAAAATTTTCGGAAAATCTGAACTATTAAGTATAAAACAACAAAACAATTTCCAGTAACAGAAATTCTCCTTAAGTAAACTTCTGCACAGTTATCTAATCCCACAATTGTTTGTAGGATGAGAGCTTGAAAATAAAACTTAGTTATTACCTGTAACAAAGGTTGTGAAAGACTTGTTTTATTTCAGGATTAAGATAACTAAACCATATCATAAGCGAAGAATATTTGAATTAATAATGTAGGGACCAAGAAGGCTGGAAGTCTTATTAAATCCCATTAGGAAAAGTAGTGAGCAATACCTGCAATGCTCTTTTTGTTGGGATTAAGAAAGATGGGAAATAAGCTTTTTGAAAATATACTTGTAGTTTGAAGAAATTTGATAAATTCTTAAGGTATTTGATAAACTGTTGGTGGGGGCAGATGTTACATTTATCATACGAGAAGTTTTAGGTTACTATTTAAATGTCGTGTCACATTAAACTAACTTTTGATCAGGGAAGCAACCTGAAGCTTTCCTTTTTTTTTTTTTTTTTTTTTTTTAAGAAAATTCATTTTTCCACAGTATCAGTGTCTAAAGAGATAAGCTGAATTGATATTGAAATAACTAGGTGTGTGTGTGTCTACGTAGATGATGATGTGTAAAGTTAAATATATGAATAGAGCTCTTTTAATTCAGAGCATTTTGTCACTGCTTCTGTTCAGAACGGATGCCTTCAGTTTAGCTCATTATAACCTGTAAGTGGGGGAGAACAAAATTCTGAGATGTTTTAAGGAAGATAAACAGGGCAAATACAAACGGACAGGTGAGGAGAATTGTCAGGCACTGTATACCTGCTTATACCTGCTGTTTGGGTGTTGCTTCTTTATGTAAATGAAAAATTTAACGGCATTTTGGGGAGCAAGATTCATGATGATTCCATACACACACACGGGATTATTTTTTCTCCTCTACTTATAGTAGGAGAACAATTTCATATTAGATTTAAGCTTATATTTCTTAAACAAACAAAAAGCTACTGTCACACAGACCCTTATATAAAATTAGGGTTAAAACTATTCCGTGTTTTTGTTCAAAGGTCGTTAAGTGAAAGACTTGCAAATCAGAATGATTTGCAGAAGATACTTTTTGTAACAGAAAATAAATGTGCATACAATATGTATTCCATAATTTTAACTTTATCCATGGAAAAAATTGTTCAATTTTTTCCTTCCTATTTTCTGTTTGCTTGCCAGGTAATTCAGCAAGGCATGCTAAAATTTTATTACAGTCTTCATTCAGAAAAAGAATGAAATTTCTGAATGGAAACATTCTTTCTTTTAGACATCAAATAAATTATGAGAGAGGAAAACCCAGAATTATATGCAAGTCTTTTTCAGATGTGCCATTGTGAAAGTTTTTTTTTTTTTTGTCATCAACGTCACTTGTAACTCAGCTCTTTTACTGTCTGTCTTAAAAATACGTTTTGGCCTTGTTGTGTATTTTTTGTTCAGCGGTTGAATTTTTTGAACTTCTTTGGCAACTTAGTATTCTTTTAAAGTAACTTGAAGGCTACATTTTCATGTTTAATTGAAATGTAATTCTTCAGTATTACCCAGTTATTGATTAGAAAGCTGAAGAATTGTAATTTGCTTGTGCAGCTTTGCTTCATCTGCTTTGTACATAGCATCTGAGCTTAGTTCTTCAATTGTGGAAGCTACTTAAAAGCACTGCTTTAGCATAACTCCCTTGCAGCTTTTTTTCCTGTCTGAAATGACTAAAGCTTTCTTATTTCCATTTGCCATCCATTTTAAAATCTGCTGTGCTCCCTCCCTCTTCATGGATTATAAACCCCTACCCTAATCCTGCCTTTACACTTGTTCAGGATCACAGTCTGCTAACCCCATTGGTGGTAAGAGTCTACAGAATTTGTGTATAAATCATTGTTTGATCACCTGTTTTATGTATCTCATTTTAAGGACCCTATTCAGCAGAAATTCTTGCTTGCTTTTTTCCATATGCTGCTCTTATCTAATGTGATGCAATTTTTATTTAGAAGGCAGTAGGGTTGGAAGGGTTTTGTCATTTTGTAATTCCATTTTAGAAGCTGTGCTTTTTATAGTTAGCTTTAATTTTTTTAGATCCACTGTTGATGGTAATATTGACAACAGTATGCCAATGCAGTTGTTGTTAGAATAATGTTTTCAGGTTATTTTCATGTGTTTTCATATGTTTCAGCTGTATTTGGTTTACGTAGGCAGTAGTGGTACACTTTGCAAGTCAGATTTTAAACAAAAGGTGGAATAATGAAAGTTTGCATTCCATCAGCATATTTTGACAAGAGCAAGTTTTCAAATTTCTGACCTATCAAAGAAAATCTTCTAAAAGTCTCTGGGACAGTGGAAACTTTATCTAATGGTTTCATTGGATTAGAGATAAGTATTGGTGAGTGAGAAGAAGGCATAATAGTTTGAAGTTCAAGTTTCATAAAGAAACTGCCAGACCCTTAACTTTTGCAGACCATGGCAATTTTATAGATTTTTGTTGTTGTTGTTGTTCAGGATAGAAGCTATGCTTGATTTTCCCAGGCTGTATAAAACTTTATCGTTTCTGCTGAATAGGTCCATAGCTTGGAAAAGGACATTTTGCTAAATAACCACATTGAGTTTGAATTCAAACAATGAATCTGAAAGTATATGCATGGTATCTTGTTCTAGTTTTCTCCCTTCCACCCAGCATATGTTTTGTTTTGTTTGGGATTTTGTTTCATTTCCCGTATAGTTAAGCTTTAACAAACTTGTACCTTTTTTTTTTTAAACATGCCTCATAAGAAGTATCCTGTGAAATTTACTTGAGATTGTTGCGTGTTAAAATTACAGATTTGATAGCATAGCTGTAGTCATATGGTTGGATTATGTGATTATTTTTAAAAGTTGAATGGAATGTTTGTATGTAATTAAACTTTGGTTAAAATTACGTTTCGATATGTCTATTTGGTCAGACTTAAATACCGCAGCTGGATATATGAGTACATTTATATCAACTTGTTGTATAAATTGGTCAAAGAAGAATGGATTGTTCGTTAGGGCTTAGAACTGAAATTTTCTGCAACTGAAATACCAAAGGATGGAGATAACCTAGGGGTCATTGACCAGTTTCTCATAGTGGGTATGCTATGTTGAAGTAAATAATTACAGTACTTCAGAATGTACAATTTTGATAAACTGTAAGCTATAAAAAAAAAAACAAACACAAGTGCTTAAATAGAATGTTTTGATCAATTTTTTTAGCTTGTTTTAGCTTAGTTAACAGTTTTCTTTGAATTTGTGGAGTAACCTCCACAGAAATCAACGTGAATATTTCAATTGTCTTCAGGGACATTTTAGTTAGCTTCTCAAAGAGTAGTGCTTGAAGAACACGTGCTTTTAAGAAGCATGGAAGAAAAGCTTATATGTTAAGAAAATTATACCTATTTTTATTAAAGTACTGTTGGTATTGGAAAAGCTGGAATAATGATGAAGTCACTGGTTTAAAGTTGTTCCCTTTAGCCTTCTAGATGTTCTTTTTATTTTTAATAGAAAATGTGATTAGTGAGACCATGCAACTTAAAAAATAAATAAAATAAAAATACACCAATGTACATGTCAGGGACATTGGAACTATTAACAAAAATAGAAAATAATGTTTGTGGTTTTTTGAGCATACCTATTGATAATTGTGTCTACTTTGTATGTAGTGCTATAAGAATTTGTCCAGGGGGACCAGGATTTTATATTTCACATTTTTACCTTGTAAGTTTTGTCAGACCATTTCAGTATACCACCACTTCCCTGCTAATGTGTGTTTTGTTTTTGTTTGTTTGTTTTTTTTTAAATCTTGGGTGTTTGTTTGTTTTTTTATCTTTTATGCTGTTACTTACATTCATTCATTTTACCTTCAGCTGGCAGTAGATCTGGATCTCCTGGAAGAGTTTTGACAACAACCACACTTTCTACTATGAACACAGGGGTTCAGAGAGTGTTAGTGAATCCTGCAACCGCACAAAAACGAAGCAAAATCCCACGAAGTCAGGGATGCAGTAGAGAAGCTAGTCCTTCTCGATTGTCAGTAGGTAAGAATTGATAAATAACTTGTTTTCTTCATAGACCTTTTTGCTTTACGTGCTAGATAACTACAGCTTGCATTTAATTACGGGTAGTTGGTAAAATTAGAATACATATAGACAAAAACGTAAAACATGCATGGATGCTGAGACTAGTAATTGATACACAAGACAGTTTTTAAAATTTAAGCTGAGAGTTTTGTGCTGTCAAAATGCAGTAGTTACTCTCTTTCTCCTCAATTTCTTCCTTCTCTCTTTCGTCTCCTTTCTTCTTAATTCCCTCTCCCCAAAGTATTACATCCTCTAAATGAAAGTGCTACCATTTTGAAAAGATTTTCTTTACAACTTCTGTGTCCTCTGGATATGTGTGCATGTGTATATACTTTCATGGTACAAAAATTAATGTCATGCTTCCTAACTCTCACAGTATAGCCTGATTGCACTTTAATACACTTTATTGAAAAACATTTTTTGATTTCAGAGGTATTGCTGCTGTTCTTTATTTTTATCTTGTGTTTTTTGTTTGTTTGTTTTTTTTACCCCAGCTATAATGTCTTTACATTTTTCATCTTAAGAAAGCTGAAGTTTTCATTTGCATTACTGTTGATTGGATTATTTTTCATTGCTTATTTACTCTGACTTTTTTGAGGTGTTTCAACCATTCTGTAAAGAGTTGGGAAATCCACTTTTTTAGCTGTACAAAGAAATAGTTTAATTGAACTGGCTATGCTTAATGTTAATTTAGCACAATTAAGAAAGTGTGTGGAAACAGTTAATACCTAAATGCAACATAATCATAAGTGCCTTTTCTTAGAAATACATCTTTGATCTTTCTGGAAAACAGAATTGCATTAAAACTGCAACTTTTCTTATGTCTTCTCCCTTCTGTGCTGCTGTTTGTCTGTACCCTGAATCATACTAGCACGAGGCAGCCGCATTCCTCGGCCTAGTGTGAGTCAGGGGTGCAGTCGGGAGGCCAGCCGTGAAAGTAGCAGGGACACAAGTCCTGTCCGCTCTTTTCCACCCCTTGGTAAGTACTAAGAGCCCCTTGTTGTGCATGGCTGCCTTTGCACTTCATTATTTGCACCTAATGAATCCACGCCTCCTCCATTAGCCTGTAACGGGCCACCATGATTTTCCATTCTTTTGGCTCGCTCACCATTTACTTTGATGGAGAATTGACCGATGTGTGAATGGGTTGTACACCTCAAAATTAAATGCTTTGCTGGTATTAGCCTTACCTTAAATCAAAGAGCTTGGAAAGATGTGTGATTTATAGCACTTAGGTTTTTTTTGAAAGGTCATTTTTGCTTTTGGAAAGTTTTTTGAAATTGTTTCTCTTTGTTAGAGTATTTATTGTTTGGATACAGTTAAAGGACTTGACCAACTAGAATACAATTTGGCTGTCATCTTCCACCTTTCCCTGCATCAACAAGTAGGATCTGTTAATGCTCAAAACTACTCCCTAGTCAATGAACTGTCTTGGTGCATATGAAGAAAATCTGCTTCATTTTATGTTGTCCTAGCAATACTATCATCACAGTATTCTGTAGGGGAAAAATTAAAATTACACTTTATTTTGCTTATAGAGTGAGTAAATGTAGTGATGCAGGTAAGGGACCATTCTGCTGAAGAGTTGTGTTCTAAGGCTGCTTTTAGTTTCCTAAAAAGGAACAGGGCAAGTAGTGAAGTCCTTATCCAAGCAGATGAACCAAAGTACAGTTCTGCAGTCTATTTTTAATCAGAGTAGAAAAAGTGCTAAGTAATTGAACCATGTTGCTATATAGGGAAGAAAAGAGGACTTGTAAACTTCTAACATTCATGCACACAATATAGCTATTTTTTGTCTTCATTCCTAGAGCTGCTGTAAGCAAAAGTTTTCTTTACAGTTAAGTGCTTCAGTTTATTGGCCTGATACTTAAAAGGTTTTGTAGACCTGTCATGCTGGCGTCCATTTCTGAAACATGAATAGGCATGGGAAAGTTTTAACATGCTTCTGACTGAAGATTAGGGAAACCTCTCATCTCCATGTATTTTTGTCCAGGTTGCTGCAAAATTCATAGCAAACTTTTGATGAAAGTATTTTAAGTGCTAGATTTTTTTTTTATTGTTTCAGTAATACAGAACTCTGTTTCCGAAACTGATCTTTTTTCTTATTGATGTTACCTTTCATTTAATCTTAAATATGAATCCTTTTTTTCAAGTGAAGTTTGCGGTTTAGGGTGTAACGATTCCAGTCTTTAAGTTTATTCTGAAACAAGTGAATCTTAGGTTTTTATCTCAAATTTAAGCACCTGACTGTCCTCTTAATTAGCATTGGATATCTTTATGTAAAGGCAGCATGCTTCCTGTCAGCCATAGTTTCACTGGAAAAGCATGGGTTAATTGAATGAAGGCTGTTTCAAGAACTAATGCTGATTTACCCAGATGCTATTTATTTGGGAAATTCAATTAAAAGTAGATGTTTTGCAGGATCCATTAACAAATCTATCTTTTACTAAAGCACAGCTGCTGCACTGTAGTGCAGAACACATGCACTACAGAAACGGATCTTTCCTTGCTACTTTTGCTACCCTACAGCTTGAATTCAATTTCATGCATGTGACATCTGATTTACATTAGATTTTTCTGATCAAATACTGTTAATAAATAAATAAATCTGTATCAAACATAATAGTGTTAGCTAATGGGTCATTGGGATGGATGCTACTTGAGATTTTATTTTTATAGATGGAATTTAATTTTTGTGTTAGATATCAGAACAAGTACTTGTACAAATACAATATGTTGAATTGTCTGATAACATAGAGAATACAAAGGAGTAACTATATGAGTTCAGAGCTCAAAATAAAATAAAAAGCTATATCTGGAACAAATGATTCTATCTACTTAATGGATTTCAAATTCCATTCAGTGTTTTGTTGGACTGGTTTTGTCTTATGGGATATTATTGATTTCTGTAAAAGAAAAAAAAATATTTTCAAGAGTACAAGTAGAAGATGAAAAAAGCAAATTCAACTCAGTATCTGTAGCTGGAAACAGTTGCATAAAGCAAATTCAACTCAGTATCTGTAGCTGGAAACAGTTGCATGTAGAATTGGAGGGGAGGAAATGTCACCTGTATTGTCTGTTTCTCAGGATTTTTTTTATTAGAAATGCTAAGCCCTTTGGAGCATTGTTATCTAGTTGCTTTTCTGTCTGAAGTGTTTCTATAATCTCACATCTTAATATAGGACTACAAAGTGAGAGATAACAGCCACTCGTGAGAAGCGAGGGATTGGTAATTTATATGGAAGTACCAGTTTTCTCGTACATCTGGCAGATATTAAACACCAGGCCAGTAAAAATTCGATATTGTAGTCAAGAAATAAACTGTTATTTTGAGTCCTATTATTGGTTCATCTTAAAATAAAATTTAAAAGTAAATACTTCCACAGTTTCTGGTGTTTGAGAGGTACAAAGAGTATTCTTGAAAATTTTCTTTGGAAAGAGATAATTTGATCCAGTAGAGCTTCATAGCAATGTCTTAAAAATTTGCCTAGCATAATTCAAATGCGTATGGAGACAAGATCATCTTGAATTATTTGCTTATTATTTTTTAATTGTACCTTTTATTTTCAGAGCTTGTTGATGGGAAAATAAGGGAAAGGTTTATCCCATTGTTGCTTGTACTTCAAACTCTATCAGTCTTGATGCATTTGTTTTTATATGCTCTGTCCTGTCTCCTTTTCCATGCTGAGATGTATGTTTTAAAGAACCAAGTACTCTATAAAGTGTTATTTGCAAAATGAAGTTCCCCAGCTAAACAACTGCATGCAGGCTTAGCTTGGCATAAGATACATTTCTATACTTTTATATAAGAAGCTGGGAACTTAAAGAGAAAAAAGCAGTGTTGTTTGTGGGACCTTTACACGGCTCAGAATCAATTTGTAGTTCACTCAAATTAAAAGTATGTGCTTTCCCAAATGTGATTTGGTCCGTGTCAGGGTTTTCTGATTCAAATCAGAGACTTTTATTAAATTGTGTATGTTAATCAGAGTAAAGGATGATTCATTGAATTCCTGGTTTCTATTTTCACTACTTTATGTATCCAGAAGGCATAAAATATTTGCATTTACAGTTCTTTATTAAATTGTTATATCTGGGGTTTGTGTCATTTTGGTTGGACACTTGAATTCTGTTAAATTTTGCAAAGCAAATTTCATTTATGTGATAGTGAAGTTCTAACTTAAGTGAACTGAATAAAGAAGATGACTTGTTTAAAAACGTTAATTTTGCTTGGTTTAAGAAAAAACATTAGCAATAGTGATTCAACTTTTTTAGAATCTGTAAAAGGCCATTTTTATTCAAGTGTCAGAAGAAAAAGGGTTCTTCGTTGTATTCAGAAGTTATTAAGGATCTTTGATTCCAACTTTCCATAACTTCAAAGAATTGTCTTGAGCCATACTAACTAACATTTCAATTTCACATTTTACTTAAAAGAAAACAAATGTAAAATGTTAATTACATTACATTTAAAATTTTAATTAAAATTGAATCATTTTAACTTTCATCTGCAAATTGGTGATTTTTAACTGAGGCTGGCTTATCTGCACATATGCAAGAACTCAAGCTAGTACCAATTGTCAACTGCCAGCAAGTTTGTGTGGTAGTCACTCATTGTGGATTACATTGTTTGATATATGAGTTCTCTCTCTCTAACTTGAACATGTAGAATTGAGTTACTTCTGCAATGGAAAAACGATATCAGTGGAACTTTTTAGGTATTCCTGAAGAATCTGATAGTGTGTGTGTGTGTGAGTGTGTACCTACACATTTTTTTCTTTGAACTTAAATATACTTTTGATCTGCTTTGAATCATTTAAAAAATGCATTAAATGTCCAACATACATAAATTTATCTGTACTACGTAATTGAAGAACTTTTCTGAAGCTTTCTTTCCTTCTGTGTAATGCTCAGTTTCTTGTTCTAAAGCTGAATATATTTGAAAAATACTCTTTTATTCTTTTAAGCAAGTATTGCAGCACTTTGATTCCATGGTAATAGATAGGGTTTTATATGATCCTGTTATTGCAGCTTCCAGACATCACTCCAGATCCACTGGTGCCCTCTACACTCCTGATGTTTATGGGGCTACAGGTGAAGGATGAGTACATTTTGCTATCATCTGTGCAGTCATCCTGGATGTTTTTTCCCCACCCACTTGGTTATGTTCATAGTTCAGTTTTAAAAAGCATATAATTTACATTAATTTGATTTCTGTGGTTTTAATAATCCAGATAGATGTATATGTGCTGCTAGATTTTCTCTCCACCTCCATGACCCAATGTTAATTCTTTTCTTCCCTAACAACAATCACTTTATTTTTACTTGCAGGATTTCTAATTTTCCATTTATTTTTTTTTCAGTATTTGTAGAGCATCCTTTGTGCATGTAGTTTTCTAATCAGTATTCTTTGTAGCCTCTCTATTGTAATTGCTTTCTTTTTAAATGAAAATAAAAACCCAAAATGAAGATGTTCAACAAACAAAAAATACCAAAATGGCCAGCACCAGATTATTTTAGTTAAAACCACTGGCTTGTCATGTTTTTGCTTCTGTGATATTGGAATAGAATCTTCATGTATGACTCTTGGTTTTTATTTCATTCGTACATTTTGCTGATATCTTTAGGGGTGCAGAATTAAAATAGCTAGTATTTTAGCCTATACATAATTAATAGAAGCATAAACCAAATGCTTTTCTTCTGCTTGGGTTTTTTTTTGTTGTTGTTTTTTTTGTGGTGTTAATATTCTGTGTTCCAATTCTAACTGAAATGTTTATATATTCATTTTTGTTGTTGTTATAACAGGTACCAGCTTTGGAATTAGTCAGTCGAGTAGATTGTCATCATCAGTTAGTGCTATGCGAGTTCTGAACACAGGTTCTGATGTGGAAGAGGCAGTAGCAGATGCCTTGGTAAGAATCTTGCACTTACCTTGTGTAGGATACACTGTTAAAATAATTGGTGTCTGTATGCTGAAGCATGCAAAAGAACTTTGTTATTTTATTGCCTTTAAGTGTGTGGGGTGAGGAAGGAGGGAGGGGAAGAAACAGAATTGCTAGAGATGCAAAGTATTGGAATTTTTATTCCATACAAAAATTTTTATTCCATCTAGTCTTAGAAAAGTCTTTTGAGAAACATGACTTTTCCATGGCAGGCAGGAAATGGTCTTGGGCTGTTCTATTGGAGTAGCTTAAGAAGCCACTCGTGCAGGAAGCCCTAATAAGCAGTATCCCACAACAGCTACACGAACTTCTGTATATGTTGAAGTTGGTAGGCTTCTCAGAGCTGGGGATGATGAGAGCTAAAAGTACACTGGAATTCCATTTAAAGTTGTTCTGATAACATAACAAGGTTTGGTTTCTGTTTTCAAAATGTTGCTGAGAATTTCAAGCTAGTTATGTCATTCTCAGTCTTAATGTTACTGTTTTTCAAAGGGATCTCTTTAGCTCCTTCTTCACCTCCTTGTCCCAGTTAGCCTAAGTGGAAGCATGTCATGTATCTTGTTTTTCTGATAACGACACCAGCAAGCTGAAATCTTCAAATAATTTAAAATATTGATGCTTTGAATTCTCTACTTTTTTATCGTGTATTGTTTGCTATTTGCATGGCATTATACATACATACGTACCTGTTACAAAGCTTCCAGAATTCTTTAAGGAATTTGTTGTTGCTCTATTATAATAGAAAGATTATTTGGAACATCAGTGGGGAAAAAAACTACAAATTAGACTCTAATGAATGTAAGTGTTGCAGGCAGGTATGATTGGACTTAGAGAGAAAATTTGAAGGGAAAAAGAATCTGAAGAACTCAGTCATGTTCACAGTCTGCCAGTTTGTTGATTTCCTGGCTAATACTGTCGTCTTGACACATTAGCTTAAAATTTGTGTGCCTTCACAGGCAGAGAGATCTGTGAAATCTTGGTCATGGCCACAAGTCACGGTGTATTTGATCAATGGAGTTTACCCTTTTTGATAGCATGAACTTGAAAAACATTTTCAGCAGAGATCTAGAATGCTAATTACTGAACTGGAACTCATTCTAGATTGTCTAGATTTTTTGTTGTTGTTGTTTTTTAAGGGTGCAATGAAGAAGAAATCTATGGGATATTTAATGTTTCTAGCTACAATTAGAAAAATCTATGTAAGATTTATCCACGTTGATGTTACATGATGAGTATCTGTAGTACTTTCAGGAGTTCATAGCTTATTCAGATTTAGCTTGATGAAGAATATAGTAGGAAATCAGTAATAAATTGAGGAGAAACTCATGATTCTAATGACTGCTCTTGAGACTTGAATGTGCCTTGCTTGGAAGCAATGAGGTCTGTTCACAGAAACTTGTTTGTATTACCTGGATGCAGAATAGCATGATGCTTATAGACGTGCTAGAGGAAAATTAGTTTAGGTATATGTGTTTTAGCTAGAATCTAGGAAGGATCAAGACGAGCAAAATTAGATTACTGTAGTATTATCATGGCTGGTTGCCTGTAATACTCTACATATACAAGTTGTCCTGTGCAAATGGTTCCATTTAGACGGAAAACTGGTTATGAAAATGTACCTCTTGTTTAGACTAAAGCTCCTGTTCAGAGTTCTGTTTTTAAAATATATCTGTCAGGATGCTATAATCTACAGTATAAAAATCAAAGATTCTGGATTGCTTTGGTACTTGTGATTTTTATCCCTTTATTTATTCTCTTATGCGTATATGGATACATGCATTGTTGACAGTAAGCTTACATAAACAGTATGTATTGAGGTATCCTTTAAGCTATTCAGCCAGCAAAAGTAACCCAGTGCAAATGGTAATTAAGGGGAAAATGACCAGTATTACTTCTGCTTCTTTGAACATGTAATGGGATTGGATTTTTAACTACTTGCTTCAACTTCAGAGTTTGAATGGCAGAGTTACTTTGCTGTGGTTTGTGTTTTTCATTTTAGGATGAACAGTATGTTTTTCCTCTGGCCTTTGTTTTATGTTTAGTTTTGTTGGCTTGTTCTTGTTTTTAAAGTGTTTGGGACTTTGCATTATACAATTAAATTGTGTAGGACATTTTCAAAACTTATTTCTGTAGTTATTGTTGCAATGACAACTTAAATATTTTAGATATCAATGCTAAACATAAAGAGATGGAGCAGTATACGGAAATACAAAGTTTAAATGAAAGTTTCATGATTAGCAGTTGGCTGAAAGTTTCATGATTAGCAGTTGGCTGTACATGTCAAGTCTTCATGCTCAGATATTACTGCATAAGAGAAAGATTTTGACAGAGAAGTCTTTGTGAACAACAAGAGGATGATATGAAATATTTTCCTGGAAATTGAATCTTAGCAAAGTTTTTATTGATAATGTATGATACACCAATCAGATATGGCGAGCAGAGTCAAATTTGCAAAAGATTATGTTTTCCAATGCAGCTAGTTTAATAGTCACAGTGCTGCTGTGCCTTACCTTCCTGTTCTCAATTTCTGTTTCTTTTCAATAATTTACTGCTGTCAGCTCTTAGGAGACATGCGGACTAAGGTATAGAAATTATTTTCCTTCTTCAGTAGTTTAATTTTACTATTAACATGTTCGATTCAAAAGTAAGTTAAAATGAGAAAATATGGTTTTAGACCTGATTCTTACATTTACATGTGTAAAGTTAAGCGCAATAACTAACTTTCAATACAACCTTTTTGTCATCCTATCATGCAATTTTATGGATTTTCACAAATAAACTTTAAGCTGAACGTTTCATCAAATGTATGTCTTCTTTCCATTTGCTTTGCTTTTGTATTTGGAATTCTACACAAGCCTTACCCTGTTAAAATGTTTTTATTATCTTGCTTTGAACTGCTGGACAGTTGGAGTCATTTGTCAGTGCAGGGCTTGTACTGATTATTGAAAGTGTAGGTGTTCCTGCTGATAAATGTATATGTATAATTTCTTTGAAAATCAGTATTAATGTGGGGTCTTTCTGAACAATAGAAGAAGCCTGTGCGAAGAAGATATGAGTCTTACGGGATGTACTCAGATGATGATGCCAACAGTGATGCATCAAGTGCCTGTTCAGAAAGGTCCTACAGCTCTAGGAATGGAAGCATACCAACATATATGAGACAGACAGAAGATGTGGCTGAAGTTCTAAATCGCTGTGCTAGCTCCAACTGGTCAGAGAGGAAAGAAGGCCTTCTAGGCCTGCAAAATTTATTAAAGAACCAGAGAACTTTAAGGTAAGAAAACGTATTAGTAGAAAAATCTTTATTTTGAAGTTGATGAAAGGCAAGGAAGGTAAAAGAGGAGGCTAATGTTCTGAGGAATGTGGAAAGTTGGGAAGAGGGGAAGAAGGGTATCTTACTCTCAGGAAGTCTGAGAGTAAGAATGGGGGAGAAAGGAGGAAACTGGTGTCCATTCTTGGTTACTAGGGCATGGAATCTGTTTAAAAAGCTTAGCTTAAGAAAGGGAATTAAAAACCAATAGAGTTCTTACAACACAGAAGATTTTCAAAGTGGTTGCATCTAGTAGTGATGACAGACGTCTTATTCAGTAGGTTATTTATTCAGAAGAAACTGTTACTGGCTAGCTACTAAGAATGTCTTTTTCATGACCTCCTCTGTTACAGTAGTCAGGAGTGCGAATTCAAAATGACCTTTGCTCTGTTTTAGTATGTGAATTAGATTGATGAGAGATTTTTAGGTTGAAAGTCTATTTTAGACAAAATCATTACATTTTTATTTGTCTTAGAGAAAGTGTTTTTTCTACTTCATTTACTAGATTTTGATCCAGTATTGTTGAATTCACTGATTGCTATGCATTAGTGTACCAGTAGTAGTAGCAGCAGAGTTGACTATTGTATTTTGTCACTTTGACAGCCGTGTTGAATTGAAAAGGCTGTGTGAAATCTTCACAAGAATGTTTGCTGATCCTCACAGTAAGGTATGTTTAGGTTTTCCTTTCTTGCAGTAAAAGTTTGAAAACCTACAGAAGACCAGCTTCAGTAAAATGTCAGCAGCACTTGCACATGTAAAAATTTAACAAACTGTATTCTGTAAGCAGTTAATGGTATCGGATCTGAAACCACTTCATTTGCAGTTTTGATCAAGATAATTTCCACCTTTTGTTGCAAGACAATTGAAATAAAGTGAAGGTTTGTTTCATTAGTTTGGCAGTTTGTGCTCAAAATTTGTAATTTTTTTTAGGAAGTCTTGGTGTTTTTAATGGCAATTTCAATGTAACTAGTGGTTCCCTCTGAAATAGAACACCTAGCTGTAGTAATTTAAAACATAAAGTAGTCTAAATCATATGTGATGAATCTGAACTGTACCAAATATTTTCTTATTTCTTTTTCAAGGTATATATTTTGCTTTGTCATAACTGATAATGTGTTCCTCGAGTTTCACAGATTAGGCTGGCATTTGACACTTGAATAATTTTTTACATCATTGATAATATTGAATATAAGATGGAGCGTATACTGGTGTTTAAAAGAAAATACAATAATTTATTCATTTTACAGTGGTGAAGACCCAGTACAGATGATACAAGGAGTGGAATATGTAGAAAACTTCTGTTTTCTAAAAGCATTTTAAATATTTTTAACTGAGTTACTGCTCTTTGTTTTGTTTTGTTTTACAATTTTTTGTGGGAGATGGGTTACTGTTGCAGCTTGATATATATGTATATAATCTATTGCAATAATTTCCCCTAGCAAAAGGACTGCAAGTGAATATGGAGTTGAACAAAGTTAAAATGATACCATGTAGAAAACAGGCAACTTCATGTTTAGTTTGACGTAGAGGCTTGTATGGAAGAAACCTTATCTTTATGTTGAGTAGAACATATGGCACTTCATGTCCATATTTCAAAACTGATAAAATATTGAAGTTAGAGCCAGAGTAGTTATATCCAAACCATTGGCTTTTCTCAACAGAATCCTGAAAAACAGCTTTGCAATACATATGTTTCAGTCTTCAAGATTCCTCTGATAGAAAACTAAATTCAGAGAGATACAAAATCTTGACAGGTTAACTTAATATTCACCTGCCCGTATTTCTCCTGCTGGAAAATCTGTGACACAGTATATTTTGAAGAAAATCATATTGTGCATAGGAACATAGTATTAAATTGCTCACATACTGCAGAAATCCAGGAGAAACAACTAAAGCCAAGTTGAGGAGTAACCAAAGAAAACACTCCCTTAAAAAGAGTAAAGAAAACTAAATATTGAAATGCTGGCTTCTAAATGAAGTGTAACAAAATTGTGAATAGCACCTTGTCTTGATTTTGGTTGTTTGTTCTTTTGTTAATTAATATAGTAGTTATGCATCTATGAGAACTACCCTGGAGATACTGTTGGGATTACAATATGGGAAGGAGAATGAGAGTGCTCCAAAATACAGTTGTACGTTTCTGAAGAGCACTTTAAATTTTTCATTGGGCCTTTATGAACTATTGCATTCCAGCTGATATTTTTGTTAGTTGGTCATTTTGACATAATATTGCTTTGAGTTCTAAGTTTTGGCCAAGGTGATATTACAGGTGTTAGCACCTATTCTAGTCACTGAAAGCATGCCTGCTTTTTGATGTTGCAAAACCAATAATAATTCATGAATATTATTATCAGGAGGACACCTCCAGTATTAGAGTTCATGAGCTTGTGGATTTTTATTATCACAGAATCATCGCGGTTGGAAGAGACCTCCAAGATCACCTAGTCCAACCTCTGACCTAATGCTAACGAGTCCTCCGCTAAACCATATCACTAAGCTCTACATCTAAACGTCTTTTAAAGACCTCCAGGGATGGTGACTCCACCACTTACATTCCACCACAGCCCATTCCAATGCCTAACAACCCTTTCCATAAAGAAGTTCTTCCTAATATCCAACCTAAACCTCCCCTGATGCAACTTTAGCCCATTCCCCCTCATCCTATCACTAGGCACGTGGGAGAACAGACCAACCCCCACCTCGCTACAGCCTCCTCTAGGGAGTGATAAGGATGCCCCTGAGCCTTCTTTTCTACAGGCTGAACAATCCCAGCTCCCTCAGCCACTCCTCATAAGACTTGTTCTCCAGATCCCTCAGCAGCTTCGTTGCCTTTCTCTGGACTCACTCAAGCACTTCCATGTCCTTCTTGTAGTGAGGAGCCCAAAACTGAACGCAGTACTCGCCAAAACTGAACACAGTACTCGAGATGCGGCCTCACCAGAGCTGAGTACAGGGGACAAATTGCTTCCCAAGCCCTGCTGGCCACACTGTTTCTGATACAAGCCAGGATGCTGTTGGCCTTCTTGGCCACCTGAGCACACTGCTGGCTCATATTCAGCCGACTATCAACCAATACTCCCAGGTCCTTCTCTGCCTGGCAGCTTTCCAACCTTTCATCTCCCAGCCTGTAGCTCTGCTTGGGGTTATTGCGCCCATGGTGTGCAGGACCTGACACTTGGCCTTGTGGAACTTCATGCAGTTGGCCTCAGCCCATCGGTGCAGCCTATCCAGATCCTCCTGCAGAGCCCTCCTGCCCTCGAGCAGATCGACACACACACCTAACTTGGTGTCATCTGCAAACTTACTGAGGGTGCACTCGATCTGCTCATCCAGATCATCGATAAAGATATTAAAGAGAACTGGCCCCAGTACTGAGCCCTGGGGGATGCCACTGGTGACCGGCCTCCAACTGGGTTTAACTCCATTCACCACAACTCTTTGGGCCCGGCTATCCAGCCAGTTTTTAACCCAACGAAGTGTACGCTAGTCCATGCCATGAGCAGCCAACACACACATTGCTGCACAAATTCAATTTTAGAATCCTTTAAAATCTTGTCGTCAGTTGTCCATAGAAAGTATTCTTTCATCATGTCTGTGGTTTTTGTTTGTGTTTGTTTTTGATTTCTTTTTTGCTTTTGTTTCTTTTTAAAGGTTTCTTTTAACATGATAGGTAGACGTAGGGAATTGCTTGGAAAAAGTCATGTAATTTGTGAGAGAGAATGGGAAAATGATTTGAAGGACATACCAAGTACTTATAAAATAGTTCCAATATCCCAATAAAATTACTAAATTTGTTATAAAAGCTTTGAAATACCTTGTTTTGTTTTGTTTTATATTCCATACAGGAACTTTGTATTGATGGCCACTAATTTGTGTGTTTTTATCTTTTTCCCTTTTTTTGTTTTTGTTCTGTTGTTTTGTTTTGTTTTGCATGCTGTCCCCTGTGTTGGAACTCTCTTTAGAGAGTAAGTTGGTTCAGTATTTGTTGGAAGCCTAACCTTATTTGCATGAATGTGCAATTAACCCTTTTTCTCTATTTTTCTTTCCCAAAGAGTTCATGCAGTGTCAAGCCTTTTGCAATCATAAAATGCTATATACAATTATGTAAACTGTGTGGTAAAGTTTTGAGATGTGCTTTATCTACTAATTAACTGACATGGTTTGGTTATGCATTCCTGCTTTATATTGTTGTGGTGGTTGGCACATCTGAAATAATTCTCTTTAATAGTAGATAGTTACAATTATTTTCATATCTGTTTATTCCACTATCAAATTATTTATTAAGAGCTCGAGCTTTAGATGCTTGATTTAAGTTTTAAGTTGCATCATAAAAAATGAAAACTGCAAAAATCATAGTACCTCCATACACTGTTCAGAGTATAGGCAGTTGAGTTCCATTTTCCATTCCAAATTCATCTGTCACCTTAAATGCTCTTACGGCATTTTGTATTCTTCATGCTTTGGCTGAGATAAAAAGCCATGATTCAGGTTGGTGTGGTGTTTTTATACAGCACAATGATTTGCTTCATTTCACTTTTCTGCTGGCAATCATTGTGGTAAACCTAACATCAAATGAAATTTGAAAAGAAAATTGAGTCGTCAGTTATGAGTATTTTTACCACCAAAAACATCAGCACAAGATCTTTAGGGTACTTTTGCCGTAGTGATTCATAATTCACTACCTAATGATTTCACTTGAAACCACTTTACTTGTTTAAAGTATCATAGGGAGTCTACATTACACCATCAAATAGGATGTTGTAACAGGTTTGTTCAGCTTACACATTTCAATGAAATTGGTGTGTGCATTGCAGTATGCAAACTTTAAGATACAGGTACAGTTTCTAAGTTCTGCGAAGCTAAATAATTTAAATAAAATTGGAAGACTTCCAGGGTAATCTTTATGCTACCAGATCTTTTTGTTTCCCTGAATTCTGTATGTTTTCCCAAAATTTTAGGACTGTTAAATCCAAAGACAGTCATAACAAAATACAGAAGGTACTCTTTGCTTTGGTTTTACCTAGCTCTTATAATTGTACCTGCTGCTTGTTTGTCCACAAAGTGGTATATAGTTTCAGTTCAGCCAAAGGCCAATCATGATGGGCTCTATATTGGATAGGGTTTGTATTGTTTTGTTTCTAATACATTTTTACAGCTTTTAAGGTGTCTATAGATTTCCTCTGATCTTTTCAGATTCTCTCAGGATCGTGTATTTATTACTCTTCTAATGTAAAATTTGAGGCACTTTTTAAGATAACTCTGTTGATTTTGATTTTCCAATTTGGGTGAGTTTACTTACTCTGGAAGTTACTTACATTGGAAGTTAGATCTAATTCCCTCAGTGATGAAGGCATGCAGCAGCATGTTTCATCCCCTCAAGTCAGTGTTGTGGTGTCTGCAGCCATGTGAGCTGCGATCACAGTTGGGGATTGTCTACTCTTATGAACAGCAGCAGAATATGGCCATGCCACAAGCCAGATAAGCTGCAGGAGGATGTGGTGTTCCAGTCCTTCCTCTGCAGCAGCTATTTCCAGTCTTGAACCTATGTCAAATATACTCGAGGCAATATGTCTCCAGCCTTCTTTGTATCGTAACAATAGCGTTGCTTCTGTGCCCAGCTATTTGCTGGAGCAAGAGCGTAAGTCAGTTGCAAAGACACCATTTCCAGCCCAAACACCTGTTTTTTGTGTCAGAGAAGTGGGAGTCATGGACTACACTGGTATAGAGCAATACACATCCTGATCTCACCATAAATCTAGGGCATAAAAAAAAACAAACAAAAGAACATGAAATTAGTGAGAGATACTAAAAAGGCTTTTGAAACAAAGTTGTCTATTATGCCTTTCTTCACCACTTCACTCTTAAAAAGCTCTTCATCATCATCTCATTGATGAAACTGCTATAGACGTTAATACACATCTTTTTTTTTCTTTTCTTTTTTTTTTAAACTGAATACTTTTCAGTTTTGTTTGTTGGAAAGAATACAACACACGATGTTTCTGGAAGACTGTAGCATTTAAACACCTGTCAAGCCAAAATCTGTTATGGCTTTTTTCCCAACTCTGGTGAACAGTTTTGTGTTTGGATATCCACAGTAGCAAGAGATTTTTGTTCTTTTTCACAAATGTTTTATGTCAAGGAATTGGACAGCTTTCATGATCTTGCAGTATTTAGCAATGCAGATATTTGCAATGAAGATTCTGTTAAAACACTATAGCAGCTTTTTTGGTTTTAGACGGAAAGTGTTTTTGTAGTCTTTGAGGAGTATCCACTTAATGATAAAACTTGAAGGTTAAACAAAAAAAAAAAGAGAAGTTTTACTGAAAAAAATGAGGTTGCGCCAGCCATCACAGTAAGCATTTCTTTTCTTGACAATACTGCATGGAATACCTAATTGTCAAACTTCTACAGAAGTCGGCTAATGTTTCCAATGTACTTTTGTATCCAATTAAAAAGCAAAACAGATTTTTTTTTTCCTGCTTGGCTGCAAAGCACTGCCTTTCTCTGCCTCTGATTCCGTTACTGCTGCTTCTTTGTTTGTAAGGTCAGCATATGTCTGTCTTTTCCTCTTTTGCCCCATCCTACCCTCTTTCCTTCTTCTTCTACCTTGTAGGTGTTCAGTATGTTTTTGGAGACACTGGTGGACTTCATCCAGGTCCATAAAGAAGATCTGCAGGACTGGCTATTTGTACTGCTTACACAGCTATTGAAGAAAATGGGTGCTGATTTGCTTGGGTCTGTACAAGCAAAAGTTCAGAAGGCACTTGATGTCACAAGGTAATGAGTTCAGAAGGAGAAAAAAAAGCAGGGGGAGGAACCCACCTCAGGCTATTCCCAACATGGTTTGTCTGTATGTACATGCATGTACATTCTGTGTCATTCTTGGAAATATACGGAGCTAACAACAGATCATGAAACCTCAGTAAACATTGCTGCTGAAGTGTTTTGGTTTCCTAAATGTGTATTAACTCAAAGGATTTGATCCTTTAATGCTCAGTAATTAACATGATACTACTTGTCTGATTCCAAAATGTGCATCGTGTATGTTTATTGTCTTGCTTGTTTAGTTATGCACTGATAGCTTTCGAATTATTATTTTTTCATTTTGATACTAAAATATTTTTTGCAGTATTCAGGCATTTAAGGATTTAGCAAATCCATTATTGCCATGTTCTCCCTTCACTTTCCCCAAAATTTTCTAACGTTCAAAGCATTCTGAAGTGATTTTGGGGGCCATCAAGCAGCTTATCCTAGTCCAGCTTTATTCCCAAATTTAAGTTTCATTTTTAACTAGAATTGGCAAAGATCTGGAAGCTACTTCTCATCCTTTATTCTCTGAAGAATGGGACAGTCTGAACCTCTGCTGAACCTATTCATATGGCAGATTTCCTGTGCAATCTGACAAAGGTTATGGTGGGCATTGAATAGAGAGAGAAAGTATGATCTTTTTTGCTGCTGCAGCAGAGGCCTAGAAGGTAATACCAGAGTGAGGAATGGTGGAGAGCAGAGGCAGATAGAAGGGGAGGATGGTTCGCAGAAGCATACAGGAGGAGTGTTGTGTAAATGCTAACAGTACTAGTGCGTTATAGTTTTGGGATTGTTGGAATTGCATACATTTGGAATCAGAATTCTGCAGGATCATCCCTTATTACTTGCCTTACATGGTCTGTTCTGAAAGTAGTAGGACTGGCTTTTTCCTGGGTGAACAGGCAGACGAGAGGCGGTCTGCGCACACAGGATCAGTGGAGGGGGATATTGGGAACGCTGGGAAAAATCGGCAGTTGGCTGTCGGCCCTTGAAGAGAGCAGGTCGCTTGTACTGTGAACACCTGTTGAAACGCCTCGTCACGGAGAATCATGGAGTGTTTAATGGAGCAGCGATACGTGATCAGATTTTGTGTAAAGCTTGGTAAAACGGGCAAAGAGACTCATGACATGATTAAGGAGGCCTATGGTGATGCTGCCATGGGTAGATCAGGTGTTTTTGAGTGGCACAAGCTGTTCTGAGAAGGTAGGGAAAGAGTGGAAGACGACGACCACTCCGGACGCTCTTCGACCAGCAAAACCAACGAAAACGTGTTGTGAGTGAAAAATTTACTGAACCATGATCACAGGATGAGTATCAGAATGAGTGCTGATGACTTGAGCATTCCTCAAACCCAAGTTTTTGAGATGGTGAAAGAAAACTTAGCCATGAGGAAAGTGTGCGCGAAGTTTGTGCTGCGAGTGTTGTCAGAGGAGCAAAAGGCCAACCGGAAAGCGATCTGCCAGGATCTTCTTCATTATGTGAATGAGGAGCCTGACTTTTTGGACAATGTAGTAACCGGTGATGACACATGGGTGTTTGAATACGACCTGGAGAGTAAGCGGCAGAGTACAGAACGGCACACCCCTGCTTCCCCACACCCCAAGAAAGCACGAATAAACAAATCCAAGCATAAGTCCATGCTCATTTGCTTTTTTGATCAACACGGAGTCATCCACAAAGAGTTTGTACCACCCGGACAAACAGTTAATGCAGTTTTTTATGTGGAAGTGCTCACAAGACTGTGAAAACACATTGCTCATGTCCGCCCAGCCATCGTCAACAATTGGCGGCTGCATCATGACAACGCACTGAGCCACACAGCATTCCGTGTAGTGGAGTATCTTGCCCAGCACAAGGTGGCAACGCTGCCTCAGCCCCCCTACAGCCCTGACTTGGCCCTGCCAGACTTTTTCCTACTCCCAAGAATAAAATCAATACTCAAGGGGAATCATCACACATTGGTAGAGGCGCTTCAAGAGGCCGTGACGAGGGAGCTAAACAGCATTCCGGTCCAGGCGTTCCTGGAAAACTCGTTGGCAGCAGTGTGTAGATGCGGAAGGGTGCTACTTTGAAAAATTCTAATCGTTCTATTCTCATGAATAAATTTTTTTCACAAAAAATGAGTCCTCCTACTTTCAGAACAGACCATGTACATATATTCTAACTACAAGAGCTTCAAAGCAGTATTTCTTTCGTAATATCATCCTTTACTTTTTAGGAAAATGTTTCTGGAAGTCAGATATAAAATCAACAAAATTGATAGAAATTTTTTCTTTCAGAAAGAGTAAAGGTGTGTTTGGTTTTTTTTTTGACTCAGAAGAGCAAGGGCATATTTTTTGCCTCTCAACAGGTATTAAAAGAAAAATTCACGTTAACTGATATAACTTGATTTTATTTATTTTATAGGGAATCTTTTCCAAATGATCTTCAGTTCAGTATTTTAATGAGATTTACTGTTGACCAGACCCAAACGCCTAGTTTGAAGGTAAGAATTTTCAGGCTTACAAAACAAACAAAATCTTGATAGACATTTGATTGTCTTATTATTTACCTTTGGATTGTTTGATTTGTTTTAAACAAAAACAAGGTTTTCAATTAGTGGATTTTGTTTTTGTAAAATTTCAGACAGTCAAGCCAGCACTACAGGACCAGCTTCGCTCTTTTTGGAGCTCAAAGGTTTTTGTCTGAATTACTGTCTTTGTTCTTAACTCTATGTCAAACTCCTACAGTTTTTGTGAATACTTCTTTCTTGAATGCATTCATTTGCTGCTACTAACCTTTGCGAGAAACTTTAAGCATGCAGATGTTCAATTTTAAACATTATACTACTGTGGAAGTGTTTGCTGAGAGTTCTAATAAAACCACAGTATGGTAAAAATGAGCAACAAAAATGTGGCTGCCTAACATCAAGCTGGTTATGCAAACTCATTCTGTTAAGTCTTTTATAATTTTATGTTTGTGATTTCCCAATCTTCTTTTCCTAGTTTGTATATAAGTTTTCCTGTGTTTAGACTGATAGGTCTTGAATTCATTTAAATAATTTTAACGATAACATAAGCTGTTATATTAAAAAGAAGCTCCCTTTATGGTACCTTTTACTTTTCTGAAAGCAGTGTGTAGCTTTATACATACACACTTCTATGTAATAAAAATCTTTAACCTGTAGACCTGACAAAACAAATGAAAATATAAAATAATTTTGTAGTATATTTACAGTTACAAAAAGTTAATTTTAGTATATGTGCATCAAATCTGAAGACTTACTAGTCAGATAAATGGGGAAATAACAAGCATATAACTGGCATTTTCTGCTCTATCCTGCACGAAATATTTTTACACTGTTTGATACTGCACAAGAATATTATTTTTTCCAAATTGTTTTGAACCTAAAGTCACATGAATATGCCTTTTTTTTTTTTGTCTACAATACAGTAAAACTTACATTTTTAAGCTTTTGAGGACAGTTGATACGTTGACCACTGTTGCTTCGTAGAGCTGTGTTAAAAAGGGACTGCTGTCATTTATTGAAGACAGCAAATGAGGTAGTAAAAATCAGTTTGTTTAAATAAATCCTTGGAACAAATTGGGCTTGATTTTCTTTTACTTGTTTTTCCTCACCAGATAGGTGAATTTGATGGTTGAGTTGTTTTTTTTTTTTCAATATAGGAGAATAACAGCTGGTATTATTAGTAGTAGAATAATAGCTGGCATATTTACAACATTTCAAATTTTAAACTGTAAATTTGAAATAGAACAGACTCCTACTAGACTAAGTTGGACCTAAGTTCAAGAATATTCAAGAATGTTCCAGGTGTGCAACCTAGAAAGGATTAAGAAGTCTGGAAACAACAGAAAAGCATTTGAGAAATACTTCAGAAAACAAGATGCCAGTAAAAGCTACCTCCACAGAAGAACAGGTGGTGATTTGAAGTAAAATCAAGAGTATTTAAAGTGAAGCTGTGGGCCAGTAAAGTATGTAACTGAGAAGTATGTAAAAGAGAGAAAAAGATTTTTTTGAAAAAATGGTACATACCCCCTACTTCCATCTTACTTAGGTAACTACAGCTTCAGGATCCAGACAGTAAAGTTACTGAACATAAATTGCAAAATTATCTGTTGAATATCCACGTTCTTGAATACTTCACCTAAATTCTGTCCTCAGTGCACCCAGATGTTTAACAGAATAACTGATAATCCTAAAGGACTGCTTCATTCCTTGAGATCTTCAGCTTTTTTTCCTTCTCTGAAGAATGATTATTTTGATTCAGGATGTGGTTTTGGGCTAGATACAGTAAAAAAACCCCTACATTCTCTAAAGAATACTATCAAAGAAAGGAGAGAGTCAGATATAAGAAGGGATGTTAGATCAGAAATACTCTCCATGGAAGGATTCCCTTCTACAAATGACACTTCCTTTATGGTTTTCATGTGGTAGTAGTAATTGTGATCCTTTGGAGTAAACTGCCATTGTCATCATTAACATTTACACACAGCAAAGCCTTGGATTATAAAAGTCAAGCTGTAAGAGTGTCCGCAAGAGGTAGATTTGGAATGATAGCCAGTAAGAGGACCAAACTGAGAAGATACTATGCTAATGGTGTAATCTGTGCAGGATGCAGCACAGTATCATGCCCCATCTTAGTTTTTCACATTAAATTTACATGTATTTGTGGTGAACTGCTGAAATACAGTTTAGAGGTATCAGGTGTGTGTATCTGTTTTGGTTAAATTTATGGATGGTCATAGGAGTCAAATTTTCTGGAGAGGATATAATCTATTAAGCTTATTTTTGCAGGTGCAGAGCATATGCTTTCCTGCGGATGAGTGTTGTCCTGAAAAATACTTCAAAGCATCACTTTCATTTTTCTCAGGTTGAATACAGAGTGGCTTACACACAGTGAGGAACAGTTTTAAGCATTGTAGCCAGGTCTTATTAGAAACTTCTGAACCCTTCTTTCCCTTGAAAATGCTGACTTACTAGAATGAAAGTCTTTTGCTGCAGTCAATGAGAAGATTTTTCTAAGTCCATTTAAAAAATTGGTATTAAAATGAACAGACATTCACAGAGGTAATCAAGCCTTTTAACATTTCATCTTTAGCAGATATTTTAATCATTTAGAGAAATCGTGGCAGAGGCAGTTGCTCCTGAGCATCTAGTAACATAGGGATTAGCACAGACATCTGGGATGTGGCAATCTGAAAATAGCTTTTCATGATTGCACTTCATGTTAGTAAAGCAGAGTTGAGTCTTTTGCACCCCAGGAAAACTGTAAGAGACGGACTTGTCTTCTTTAAGTAAAGCAGTTTCTATAACATATTTCTATGTCTTATCCTGATGAAGCAACTTTGTGAATCTCAACTTTTTCACAGGATAGGATAGCAGTTTGCCTTCTGGCACTGACTGTGTAGCATCCTTGCAGTATTTTGTGAATCTATGCAGATGAGTTGCACAGGATATTTTTGTGTAGGAATTTCTCATCTGTGGAAGATGTTTATGAAGCATTTTGATTACATTTATCTTTTTTTTTTTTAGTGAGTAATAGTGCTAATTGTAGCTTCCTTCATATTTCAGTTCACTTACTACAATACTATTCTTAAACAAAATGTGTGTGTGTTTTGTGCTGTACAGGAAAAAAGTTTACTGTCTCAGGGTTTGTTATAGCCCAGCAAAATATGGGAAATTCAGCCTACGGGGTACAAAGAAAGTCAAGGCAGTATTAAACACCTTCCTAGACAGTGGTTTCAGATTAACAGCAAATACTCGTTTTAAGAAATCCTGAAACTACTTCCATTGCAGTAAAAAAAAAAAAAAAAAAAAAAAAATTATCTCAGGTCCTGTAGAGGTGAAATGGGTTGCTAAAGAGCATTATGTCAGGTCTTTTATTTCTGAACCTCAACTCTGTACTTAACTTGTTTGAAGCAGTGACAAAAATGCATCACAAGTAGATTTGTTGCTGTTACGGGGTTTACTTCAGGGTGTTTTTGATCTGTAATATTATTGCCTCATTATATGGATTTTTGTGTTTGGTTCCTCCAGCCCCAGAAAGAATATAGCAGATGGTATTTTTTATACTGCATATGTTGGTATTGACTTGCTTAATGTGAAAACCTCCAGCTGTTGGTTGTTGCATAACTTCAGAGAAGTCAAGTTTTAACAACTGCTGTGAATACAAAGTATTATTTTTTTTAATTTACATGCATCAGCTATTAGTAATATCTGTGTCACTCGGTGTATCTTGGGTGTTAAAAGTTTTGACCAATTCATATTTCTAAATAGCTTTGTTTGGAACAGTTTTAGTACAAGGCACATATAATTAAAAATAAACCTAGAGCTTTTTTTTTTTTTTCTGCTTATGATGGTCATTAGGTCTTTTCCATCCTAGTAGGTATTCCTAGCTCAGGATGATTATTAGTGCTAAGTTAAGTAGGTTGTATAAATAAATGTTGACCACTTTTTTTGATGGGTTGCATGTCAGTTATCTCTGGGGCTGCAGGAACCAAGGAGAGAATGTTTAAGGGAGTTACAGGCATAATAGCCCTTCTACTAAAGTTGTGCAGTGATGTCATTTTGGAGGGGCTGCAATCTGGGATATCTAAAACTGTAATTCTGCATTAGGGAAGTAGGACAATGATGCTTGGGCAATTGAGAGCATAAAAAAGCTTTTCTATCCTCCTGGTAAACCCACATCTATCTTCTCAATATCTTAAAAGGAAAAATGTGTTATGTGACCCCTTCTAAGTATTGAGTAGAAATTCTATTCCATACGTTTTTAAAAATAAGAAGAATCATACACCCTAACCCTAAAGATCCTGACTGCTGAACTCTGGTTTTCATAAAAGGGTGCTGTGTGTTAACTATATCTTATTCTAATACAAACTGATCATTAGTTCATCAGATAGCGTCTGCTTATCATTTTGGTACTTGAAAAAAGTTCTCAATAATTCTGAAAATTCTTATATGTTCCAAGTACTTTGGTTTTCTGTTTGTTAAACATAAACTTCTGCATATACAATGATTTGTCTGTCTCCTAGCTGCTACTAATGAAATCTAAGTTTTCTATTAGTTTTTAATTTCTGTGGAAGATCTTCCTTCTTGAAATGTTGTACCCATCTGTAAATTCAGCGTTTAGGTTTTTATATACCAACACTGAAAAAATGTTTAGGTTAATTAGAAAAAAGTATTTTAGAGAATGTACATTCTAATCTGTATATGCTCTTGTTCTTGGAGCACAGTTTTTATTGTCCATCTGACTCTATTTCTCTTTTCAGGTCAAAGTTGCAATCCTTAAGTATATAGAGACTCTTGCACAACAGATGGATCCAGGAGACTTTGTAAATTCAAGTGAAACTAGGTTAGCAGTGTCCCGAATCATCACCTGGACCACAGAACCTAAAAGTTCAGATGTTAGGAAGGTATGTTTGTTAATGTGCACTTACCATTGGAATCCATTCCAAGTATGTTCAATGAAGCTGTTGACTTTTCATGTCTCAACAGAAAAAAAAGATTTTTTTCTTTAAAAACAATTAATTGTTCCATGGAGAAAAGATACTTTTATATGCTTGTCAGCAAACACAGCTAATAGTTGGTGCTGAGGAATCAAAATTGCCAAAGTAAAACATTCAGGTGGTATCAAAGAATTGTTCTTGTCATGCTACAGTTCCAGTGCAAAAATCCCTTCTCCAATAAAAAAGAAATTTTTCTTTCTCTTGGGAAGAAAAATTAATATTTGTGGGTACTCAGGTGCCAGGGGTACAGAACAACCATGAAAAAGTGTACTGGTGCTGTCTTGAGAAAGGAGTTCTAAATAGTTCCTGCAATTAGAGAGGAAAAAAAATTGATTTTATTTGCACATAGATGGAATAGAGTAATTTCTAGCTTGAATTTTGGTAATTTCTAGCTTGAATTTTGGTAATTTCTGGGAACATGACCAAAACTCATTTCCTTTAGGAGGGATGTTTTGTGTCAGTCAATTGATAGAAAATAGTGGGGAGCTGTCTCACAAAGTAATGCCAAGAGAACAATAAAATAAACTTTTATCACTTCTTGATATATTGAACGTTTATAATATTTCACCACGAGACATTTTATACTGGAGATTGTTTGTTTGTTTTATTATGAGCTTTCAATTCTAAGATAACTTTGAGGAAGTAGTAACAGATCATATCCTATGGACTTTTCTTGCCTGGTTACTGTGTCCTAGTGACATACCTAAGTCCATAAAGCAGGAAGGGAATTGAAGCAGCACTATCTTCTAAATCAGTAAAGTTTTAGTACTGAGACACGTGGCAAGCTGTCTTATCTGATAGTTCATATCTCTAATAAGCATTTTTATGCCAGTAAGTAACTGAATTGTGGAAAGAATTGCTGGTGAGTTTTATCATCTGGAACCCCTTAATTATATTTTCTTTCCATAACAGATTTGTTAGAGGTTGCTAATTTCCAAAAACCTTTTATAAGTCTTGAAAATAAAAGTTTATCAATAGGTAGTCAAAAAAGTTATTTTAATGGTTTAAAATCTCTTGTTCTCTTAATGGGCTTGAAGACAGCCACATATACAATCACAGAAATCCACTTTTTTTTAAAAAGATTATAATAACATAACATTTTGAGTGCTTTATTTTGATTATTTTTTGCCACCTGTATTTCTGTGCAAATAATGCTGTTTTTGTTGTTGTGTGTTGTTTTTTTTCCCATAAAAACATTTCCAGTGCTAAATACTATTAAAAAAAAAAATCATTTTTCCTTTGTTGATGTTGAAATGGGTATGCTTAGTTTAGTTCAGTGACATGGATCTTTCTGGAGGGTAAAATTCTAAGTTTCCACTTTAGTTTCTTATAAGATTCTATTTCTCCTCAGAAGAATTTTAATCTTCTTAGAGTTCTTCTAAGATCAATAAAAAACAAATTTCTAATCCATATTGCATACTTTTAAAAATGTGATCTGTGACTGGATTTGAAAATCTCATGAGAGTGATCTTATGGTGACAAGGGGAAAAAATTCTAATAGTCTTAACAAGCTTTTTTCACTAATTGTTTAGTAAAACCCTTCTCTGAGTCTATTTCCATTTTGATACTTCAGGTTGAGCTTCATTCTGGGCAGACCTGGTGGTGTCAGTTTCTTTCATGATATGACCCTGGGTTGTCTGTTCTGTTATTTTATTGGTAGCTTAAACAGACACAGTGTTTTGGAGTGGAGATATGGGTAACAGGACAGAAAAAAAGGAAGTGGTAACTTCCAAACCTTTGTTCAGCTGCAGGATTTGTTTTAACACAATTTGATAAATATAAAAACAAAAGACAGACTATAGTAAGTTAAAGACGAGCACTGAAGGAAGACGGGTCGTAGAGGGTACTTGGGGTGTTCACTTGAAAGGAAGGAAGACAATATATTGAGGGAGAAGGGAATAAAAGTTCAAGAAAACAGCTAATCACAAGTGCACCAAGACAGTTTATGGCAATCTAACATGTTAGTATTTTCATCATTAGATTTAATACTAAGATGTGTATTGGTATGTGTGCTCATACCTTGGCTTTCCACTTTTAATTAAAAAGTGCTACAGTTCATTGCTCTGGAAGCAAAAGGAGGGAAATAAATGTCTAAAAGAATTTTCTAAACTACTTGCTTGAAGTATTATGGTGCTTAAACAAGCTGCCCGTCATTCTGTGTAGCATGAGGCACTGGTTCTCTCCAGTGCGTGGCAGACCTTGATGGTGAGTCACTTTTATGGAAACTAGACATAGTTGGTTAATCTTAACTAATCTTAATCCAGCTAAACATAGTTGGTTAATCAGAGTTTCATACTGCACAGAAACTGTTAAAAAGTTCTGGAGAACTTAATAATTTCTAGCCTTTCATTGTATGTGATAGCTTAGTTGCAATGCTGGCAGGTTTGTTAGCCCATCCAGTGCATGTTCATCAAAGTAAGTCATGCAGTCAACATTTCTTTAGCAGAGGGAATCCAACAGGAAACCCAGTGCTCTGTAACGTGCTGTCTTGCTTTGTCAGTAAAGATCTGTGGTTTTCTTGATTCAGATATATTCATTGTATGTATGTATGAATAAAAGCATACTCTAGGATGAGGATGCCATTGAAGATAAAACACTAAAATGTGAGTTGTGGAATTGAGTAGACTAGAAACTCCGATACTTAAGAGCTTTCATCTTTAGAATATGTAGGCAACTAAATAATTCCTCTTGATGTTTGAAAGTTAGTCTATCAGTTATCACCTGTAGAATCAGCACTTGCAGAATTCAGAAGGAATTGCCAAGTTTGTTGCTGTTTTGGTGTGTTCAGGTGTGTTTTTTTTTGTTGTTGTTCAACTTGCCAAACCCTTCAGAAGCAATTTTTAGCAGCAATTTTTTTAGTAGCAATTTCACTGCTTCCTTCAGGCCTTCATTTAGTGAGAAGGGTTGAGGATAATCATGTTTCAGAAAGACTGCTTGTTAGGATGATGGTGCAAAGTGTAAGCTCATTGGTATGTGCCTGGAATATTTGAACTTTAAGCTCGCTTACCAGCAAATAGGAATTGTTTGTTCACATCTGTTAGTATCTTTAATCAAATTTGTTTAATACTTATATCACCTTTTGTGATTCTCCCTCATTGTAGTATCTCTTACTGATAAAATTACTGCAGAAACGCAATTAAATGCCTTCAATCTGTATTTTCTTCTAGGCTGCACAGGCAGTGCTAATTTCCCTTTTTGAACTCAATACTCCAGAGTTTACAATGCTGTTGGGTGCTTTACCAAAAACATTTCAGGATGGAGCCACAAAGCTTCTCCATAATCATCTCCGGAATACAGGCAACAGTGGTCAGGTATCTATACCTCTTATATTATTCCTTCTGAAGTTACTGCTGTTTTGAATATAAGTCCGTTTCAGTAGAGTTATGTGTGAGAGCAAGATTGGTAGAGGCAACACAAGTATTCTGTAGAGGCCTTAGCAGGAAATAGCACTCTTTATGGAATGAGTTTTCTTTTCCTCCACAGATTGATACTTTCTCAGTGTATGTTGATTCCAAATAAAGTGATGTACTAAGTTTAAAAGTACTTTTTAAGAGTAGTTTGTTTCTTACTTCCATTATTTTAAAATGGTTGAAAAAATTTGGTTGAAGTTATTGTCATTAGTCAGACAATCCAAGAAATTAAGTAGAAGCTCTTTAAATTTTTCTGGTCACTAGAAAATAAATACAATGATAAGGCAAAGGGGAAGCTGAAGTCTTGAGTTCTACTGGAGTAACTCATGTCATCTCTCCTCTTCCAGGGATCAATGGGAAGTCCTTTAACAAGACCTACTCCACGCTCCCCAGCATGCTGGTCAAGTCCTCTCACTTCCCCAACCAATACATCGCAGAACACTTTGTCACCAAGGTAATGTTGGCCATTGTTGCTGCAATTCTGCATCTAAGTCTTCACTACATGTTCTCCAAAATTGTAATCCCAACTGTGAACAAGTGTAGTGAGTTTTGCACAGTCACAGATGTTGAAAAATAATTCCCCTTCCTCCACAGAAAGACAGTACAGTGAAGTGCTCCACCTCCCTGAAGTGTCTGACAAGAGCCAGGGATGGCTTAAGGTGGGAAAGGGCTGTACACCTCACAGTACAAACGGCATATTAACAGAAGAAAGGTTTATGTTTAATGTCTAGAAAACGTTAGACTAACTCAGGTCATCAAGCCAGATAGGGAAATGAAAAAAAAGTAGTAAATTGCATTGTTACCAAATGCTGTCAGTAAAGTGGATTTTGTAACTTTGCTTTTGGCAATCAACTGATATATTAATCACTCCCCGTTACTGTGAAACTTTTCTCATAAAGACAAAATGGTATAAAAGTTCCTTTTGTACTTCCAGGAGAAAAATGGAGCAGAAGTGTGTTTCTTGAGGCAGATGCTGCTGCATGATGTCGCCCTTTCCTTGTCTAGCCACTCCCAGTGCTTAATCGTATTAATATTTCCTGAGGGTCTATAGTTCCATGTTGGTGTTATTTAGAAGTATGGGGTCAGAAAGTAAATCCATCTTACTCTGTATGTCCTTCTCCATGGCCCACAGTGCTTTCGACTATGATACGGAAAATATGAATTCTGAAGATATTTACAGCTCTCTTCGTGGAGTCACTGAAGCCATTCAGAATTTCAGTTTCCGTAGTCAAGAAGATATGAATGAGCCTGTAAAACGAGATTCAAAAAAAGAGGAAGTTGATTCAGTGAGTAAACTCTGTGCATCTTGGTATTGGCAAGCCAAGCCCAATACCTGATTTACTACAAAGATAACACCTTTTTAAGTAAGTTTTTGTATTGTAATTTCTGAAATGGGACATCCCTCCTAACTTTAGTGTCAGAGTTTTTTAAAAAAAAAAAAAAAAAAAAAAAGTTCCTAGTCTTGAAGCACCTTTTCGAAATGTAAATGCTAATTTTAAGTGGCATTAGCTATTTGTTTATTTAAAATGTTAACAATTTAGAAATATTTTATCTCATAAAACAACTTGAGTTTAGTTTTTGAGTGATCTGTACCCTTATATATTTTTTCCAGAGTTTTTATTAATATCCATACAAAACCTGCAGGTTTTTTTAGCGCTATATGTGTCCTGTTCTGAGCTTCTGTTTGTGTGGAGCTTCAGCTTTTAGGTTTGTTGAACATGCCCAAAGTGTATGTACTTAAACATCATTTTAATTACTTGGCATCATACTACAGAGATGAAGTGCTGACAGCCACTTCTAATCATGAACTTCAAAGTATACATGCTCCAGAAGACTTTTTTGTACTTTTTTGACAAAAGGAAATTCAGGGACCTCTAGCTAAGACCTCTTATCTGAAGCCCAGCTTAATGTCTATTTAGGAATGTTTAGGAAACTTTTTGATATTTGTAAGTTCTTGTTATGTAGGTGAATTAGTGAAGTAGTTAACTGAAAAGTGTAAGTGTATCTTGTATATGCTTGTATGATATTTCTTTTTCTGCAGATCTGTAGTGCTTCTGGAATAGTAGACCTACGAGCAGGAAGTGGTGTGAGTGATACAGCCCGAACAGCTCTCGATAACAAAACATCATTACTCAACACAATGCCTCCTCATTCTTCACCACGTTCAAGAGATTATAACCCATATAATTATTCTGATAGTATCAGTTCATTCAATAAATCTGCTTTGAAGGAAGCCATGTTTGATGATGATGCAGAGCAATTTCCTGATGGTAAGCTTCAGATTGCGTTCTGTGCTAGAATGAAAATGGTGAGATTTTTCATCTTTTTCATTTGACTCTGTGAATTTATCATTAACAGGACATGTATTACCAGTGCCACTTTGAGAGGTTTTATAAATAATATATGTCAAATTAGTTTGTTAGTAATCTTTCTGAGTGACATTTTTGGATTGGTTGATACTTGTGGAGATTAGGGGGTGAAAATGAGATAATTACTGAACTGTATGGTATACTTCCAGCAGCATGTTCTATAGCAGGATTGTCAATATAGATTTACTTAGCAGATTGCTCTGTTGTTGAGATTTAAAAAGCTTTACAGCCAGGGAGTAAAACTGGATCAAATCAGTTTGGGAATTAGGTGAAATATTAAGTATTTTGTTAGTAAAATATATGCATTTGAAATGTGACATTGGCATTTTCTATTGAGTAAACACTTTTTTTTTTTTAAAAAAAAGGCTTTTACTTGGAAGTTGGTTCATTTAGCCAATGTAAATGAAAGAACTTGGGTTGTTGTTTTGTAGGCTTCAAAATCTTCCTTTTACTATTTCTCAGTATATTTTTGGGAGCTTTTTATAGCTAAATGTTGGGGGAGGTTTGGGTAGTGATTATAGTGATACTGTGGAAACATAGCAGGTATTTTTCATGTTGTGGTTTTCATTCATGTCTTGATATTTCATATTCATTTATAGAATAAACTCAGTTTTTAATTAAACAAAGGTCTTAATAGTGAAGTATAAGTAAGTATTCCCTCCCCCCCCTTCTGTTTTACCTCTGACATTCAGCAATGATGTGTTAAAGTGCTGAAAAACAAAACTTATGTTCTGGCATTGTGTTTTATTCAGCTATCTTATGAGTTGGCTTCAAGTTTACATTACATTTAAAAAAAAAAAAAAATAATCTAAGGTGTATTCCTCTTTGCCTTCTCTTCTGCTTAGTAAAGAGGCACATGGTTAGTTATTAAATTCTAAAAAAAGATTTAAGAGAAAGCAAATTTTTACAGATTATTTCATGTAAATATGAATAATTAAATACCTTTGTCATCCTCACATGAAATATTTATGAGCAAAACTCTGCATTACGGTGATGCTGTTGTTACATGGGATCGGTCTCTATAGCTTCTGATAATGTATTTCTTGACATCACATTAAAGTAAATGATAAAAGCTATTGAACATATGGGAGGGACTTTCTGGGAAATACCTTTCTTGCAGTCAAATGCACTCTGTTCTAGCAACGTGTTGTCAAATAATTATTATTTATTCAACATTTATTTATTTTCTTTATTGACTTGTCTTTTGGAGCTATTTTGGTATAATAGCAGTTGTGCAGAAGAGAGAAATCTTTTCTTCGTGAACATTTTCATGAAGACGTACCAAAATAAAGCTTGATTATATATAAAAAAATAAATAGAATTTATATATATTTATAGTTTTTGTTAAGATTTCTTTATGAATCACATTCTGATGTTCTCATCTCATTTTCCTGTAAAATCTGAAATTTCTCAAGTTATACTTTATGTTGTTTTTTATTTGCTGCTAACTGCTAGTCTCTGTTGAAAAATCTTGAATTTTTCTTCCTTATGTCAAAAGTAGCTTGGATTTTTAAATGTTTAGAAATGTTCCTGGGACCATCTTCTCACTGTGTGTATGGTCTGTGGTGTTTGCTCTCTCAAGTTCCATTGCTAGTTGAGGTAATTACAGTAATCACTGTCACACTGTCAGAGAACCTTACAGTGTAGTTCCATCTGAAGCTTTGAAGCTTATGGAGTATCCTTTCATAAGAATGTGCTAAATTAACAGAAGGTGGTAAGGTTTTTTTCTTTTTTTTTCTTTTTTTTTAGATTCCATGAACTTAAGCAATCTGTGCTCTAGCAGCAGCGTCTGTTTTTTTAAAATTTTATGAGTGGATGGAATGAAGCATCCCCATCCAGTAGTGGTTTGTCCTTGCTGGAGTTAGTAGTACAAAGTATTTAGTAAGGACTGCTCTTTAATTAACAATTCAAAAAAAAAAAAAACAAAAAAAAAACACCTTGCATTTATTCCTGTATGCAGGAATACACTCTTAGTTTTTAGTAGCACCATGTGTATTGTCATTACTTTTAGAATTACATCCGAGATGATTTTGAAAAAGTTGGCATGGGAGAAAAAAAAAGACACATTTATACATATGGCAAAATATTTATGCATGCAGTTTCTCACTTAGGAATTGCGTGCTTTTCCCATAAACCCAAAGTGCTTGTTGAACGCTAGTTTATACTTTTTAGCAACTTCACTGTGTTTATGACACACAGTTCCTGTTTTTATCGGATTCCGATGTATCTTCTCATCTGTTACTGGGAGAAGACATAGATATAAAGGGCTGGATGGGGAGATCTTGGCTGCTCATTTGTGCAATCAACAGCACTGAGGCACAAACATGTATTTTGTAGACTGACTGTTCATCTAACACTTAAAAAAAAAAAACTCCTTTAGAGGAGATGCCATGATGTACCCCCCAAATGTGCATTTGAGTGTTTTACCACTTTTGTAGTAAAAGGTTTTCATAGGAACAGTCTAAATCTTCAAAGCACTAGCACTCTTTCCATGGCATGTGCCCTTTATTAGAAGTATAGGGGAATGTGGTTTTCTAAGGCACTTACTAGACTTCTTAAAAGCATTCAGCAGCTCCTGTTTGAAATCCAGTGTTCCCTTCCAAAGCATGTCCCTCTCATTTTTTTCAGTGTACTTCCATAGATCATGTTTTCCAAGTTTCTGCCTTTTTAACTGACACCATCATTTGTATCCTTCCAGATAAATAGAAAGCCATTTATAATCCAGTCATTTTGCAGGTGTTTCATCCAAGGTTTGTACCCACCTTGTTGGCATTTTTGGCCATGTTTCAGGCAGTAGGAAAATCTTTACTTAATTCAGAACATACCTTAATTTCCTTCTTACCCCCCAACACTGTATAGCCTGTCAAAAGGTTATTATTTGATTGGTTTGAGAACAGATGTTCTTTAACAAATATTTATATGCATAATATTAATACATACATGTTTAAGGTACATTTTAATTTATTCAAATGAACCTCCTTCTCCTCATTTCTGTTTTTTCTTTTCAGACAAAAAGTTGTGAGTAGACTTGAATATGACAATGTATTTCTCCTTTCTTATCTGGAGAATGTTTAGGAATGAAACACTGGGTGCTAAATCATATCCAGGAATGGGAATTTCAGGCTGTCAAGGCATGTGCACCCACACACATGGTTTTGTACAATTTATTTATTTATTTATTTATTTAAGGAAATCTATTTCCTCAGCTAATAGAGCTCCCCCTTATTCCTGTATGGATATGGCTGGTACCTTCACTCTTTGGCCCATTCCCCCCATACGTTAAAGTTGCCACTTCTTTCATTCTGGTATTTCCACAATAGAAATAGCTTTATTCAAGCATATATAGGTTGCTTTGCTAATTATATTTTGATGTACATTCCCCAAAATAGGATTTACTATGGATGTAAACATGACAGTTTGGTAGAACAAGCATAATAGTCCTAGTAATACAAGTAATGCCCTTGCTTCCATAAAATGGATCGTCCATTCTGCTCATCTGTACTAAATAATTACTCACATAATGCACCTACAGAATGCAATTCGAGCTTGTCCTTTAGACAAACAATAATGATCAATTTGGAGAATTTGCAAATCATGCATTAATAAAGAGGCAGTGGAAGTGGTTGCAGAAAAAAAGGTTTCTGCTTTCAGGTGTTAGTGAGTTGATTATTCATGCAAAACAATGCAAAAAGAAATGTTGGGTACAAAAACAGTGTGTTTTTGTTTGTTTTTTGATCCTTGATATGTGATATTCAGCTTTTACTTTTTGTTTCTTTGTACATTATTTATAAGTTACAATACTGAATACAACAATATAAGATGTTAGAGGGCTGTGCTTCCTCTGCATATGACCTAATAAATTTGTTAGGGAAAATGTATTTTATCTATTAAGGAAGTGAAATAATTTTAGGATAGATGCAGTTGCAGGAATGCTTGCATTTTATATTGTTTACTCTTTGAAAGAAGAATGTATGTCAATGCTCTCAGACTTTTCCAAGGAAAAAAAAGTTTGTTAATTCACCCCAGTTTTGGTGCAAAGGTAGAAGCTATATGCATTTCTTTCTTAAATTGGTCTTTCTTTCTGAATTGGTCTTGATAATGGAGTAAAGGCAACAGTTCAATATTTAATTGTCATTAATACCACATACAAGGGCTTGTTTTTTTGTTTTTTTTTTTTGGCTGTTTGCAGATCTCCATGTTTGCAGTCCAGTGTTTCCAAATATGAGTTGTTACTGGTGCTTTTTTTCCATCATCATGGAATTCTCTCTGTTAATCAAAGCTGAAATCCAGAGCTGTCTCGTAGTGACAGTTACTGAGATAGCAGTCATTCCCTGCAATCTCTGTGGGGTTAATGGCTCTACTCTTGCGCAGTTTTTTACTGTTTCCATTAACATACTAGCCATTGCTGTGGAACGGTGGCTTACAAAAGTCTAAGCAGTTCGGTAATATCATACTATCGGTAATATCATACTAAAGGAGAATATGCAAGTTTATCTTCTTGGACAGAAGTGTTACATGGGAAAGCTGGCCCTTAGTGTATACATCAGATTTAAAAGGGTAGAGGAACCTACCGCTTTTTGTCTTGCAAGAGTAAAAACTACTGCAGTAAACTGTACCAGTGATGTTTGTTGTTGTTGTTTTGTGGTATCATTGTTTATTGTGATTGTAAGCTTGTTTAGGAATGTTGTCTGCACTGAAAATGAAATACTGAAATTGTAATTTTAGCTAAGTTGGGTGGAAAATATAAAAGTATGCTAGAAAGTCAGCTATCTACCCCAGTAGATATCTTACAGTAGTGCATCAGGCACTAATGTTTATTTGCAGTAATATTTATTTGCAACAATCTGAAAATTGTGTTTGTGTATTCATTTTTTGGTAGAGCCTCCCATGGATCATTCTGATCTGGTCGCAGAGTTACTAAAAGAGTTATCAAACCATAATGAGAGAGTTGAGGAAAGAAAGACTGCCCTCTATGAGCTCATGAAATTAACTCAAGAAGAGTCTTTTGGTGTTTGGGATGAGCACTTCAAAACAATACTGCTTTTGCTGCTTGAAACACTTGGAGACAAAGAGGTAAATTTAGATAATTTCTACTAAGAATGTTAACAAAGCACATGGTTTACTTTCAGTGTCTTTGAAAGTCATAAGGGAAGGGCACAAATCACTATATGTTTCTATAAATAAGTAATGCTTATCGTGGAAACTCTTGAATTCTATGTAATTGTTCCCTGTAAGTGCCACGTTTTTAAATTGCTGAGGTTCAGAATGACACTAATACCTGTTCTGAATTAAATAAATAATTACTTGTCAATGTGTTTTCAAAAATAATGCATTTGTGTGATGCTAAAAGTTTTATCAACATTTGTGAAGGGTAAAATTGTATGCAACGTAGCAGCTCTTGGGTAGCACAAATAACTCCGGATGGCAGCATATTTGTGATATACAACCTGAACTAATTGCAGAAAGAGAAGAATGAATTACTGAACAATTTTTTAGCTGAATTTATTAATACAATATTTGTATTACATATATGCATAGAAAATCGGATATATTATCAAAAGCTTTCATGTTGAACGAATATTAAAACAAATATCTATTTAAAGATGCATAACTAATTTATTTTAATATTTAATCTTTAGTATGCGATTAGAGCTTTGGCATTGAAAGTTCTAAGAGAAATTCTCAGAAACCAGCCAGCAAGGTTTAAGAACTATGCAGAGCTCACAATAATGAAGACATTAGAAGCTCATAAGGACCCCCATAAGGAGGTTAGTAATAAGTTACTGTTTGTTTGAGGTTATGACAAAATATTACAAAATGAAATAGCTATGTGTATGTCCATAAAGTGTTTGACAAATCAGTTAGATCTTACTGAGGAAGTAATTCGTGTAATAAACAAGCATTCAGCTCTTGCTAGTTAACATAGGTATGCAAAAAAAAAAAAAAAATGAACTGTGGTTTTGTAAGTTCTGAAATGGTTAATGTCAGCCCTGATAGCAGTTGCTTTGGGTGCTGCCCAAGAGGACACAGAGCCATAACCAATGATCACAGCTCATCAAAGAATAACTGAAGGTGGTTTTTCATTGTATGACATCTTAAGCCAGGTACCCTGGAGTTCTGATGCAATGTTTTGGATTTCATTAACATACATGGTTGAGAGATGGGACTGAACAGGGCAAGGAAATAATCAGCCTTTTCCGTTTCCAGACAGCTCTGCACCATTCAAGAGCATGTGTTTGAATATTTTTTTTTCAGGAGAGAAAGGACTGTAAGATATCAACAAGAAGATTTGCCTGTGGCTGAGAATAGAGAGGGGATTCAGAAGTAGGAGGCTAACTGTAATCTTGCTCAGAAATTTTTGTGATGTGAGCACACACAGCAAAGGATAACGCACGTAGATACAAGAAGCAAATACAGTAGCCACCCAAACATTAAACAGTTTACATCAGTGTCACTGATGGTAGGAGAAGAATACAGATTTGTTATTAGATGAATACATCTCCCTGCCTTCCCTATGCTCCAATGCTCCCCATGCAAAGACTTCTTTATATGGGACTTGTCAGTGATCAAAGGCCAAACAAGTAGTAAGTAATGCAAGTAATATAGGTAGTATAAGTAATATAAGTAGTAATAATAATAATAGTAATACATTTTCAAAGTCCTGTAATGTACATATTTTTACAATATAATGGAGCTGTGGTTAAGAGAAGTTTATGTTCAAGACCAGTACTGACAGAGAACAGATCACAGCAATTCAATTGTACATCATTTTTCCATGTCTTTTTTCCTTTCAATAGGTGGTGAGATCTGCTGAAGAAGCTGCTTCCATGCTGGCTACTTCCATTAGCCCAGATCAGTGCATCAAAGTTCTTTGTCCAATTATTCAAACTGCAGATTACCCCATTAATCTGGCTGCAATCAAAATGCAGACGAAAGTCATTGAGAGAGTATCTAAAGAAACTCTTACTCAGCTTTTACCAGAGATTGTGCCAGGTCTAATACAGGTAAAACAAAGAAACAAACAAAAACCCTCTGCATATAAAAGAATTGCAATTATATATATGTATTTTTTTTTCAAGCAGTACCGCCTGGTTCTCATGAAAGATTTTTTGTTTTAGCTGATGGCTGCTTTGACCCAAAATAACTCATAGTGGGAACAATCTTTGAGATTGTCAACTAGTTGAATTGTAATTGTTGTTAGGACTCAAAATCTAGTTCTGATTGTTTGTTCTGAAATTGGACATGTTGTATGTATATATAACTGTAGGGTTTTATAACCTGGGATTTGGGGGAGGCAAGTGGAAAAAAGCAGTTAACTGGGGTAAGTTTAATAAGATAAGAATATCAGAGGTTTCTGTTTCTTTGTCCATTTTTAATTATATCCCACCTTATAACAAGACAAAATACATTAATTTACATGTGCTGGATGAAGACTTCAGAATTCGACAGCTGTGTTCTGCAGATTTCTGTCTTTATTGCTTGTGGTCAAGTCACACATCTGCAGGAAGGTAGAGGCAGTGCAGGGGCCTTCTGAGAGGAGGGTGTGAGACAGGCATGAGAAACAAAAAGCATTAAATAACGGGGTGAGAGATAAGAAAAGAATCTTTCCCTGCTAAGAAGTAGGTTCTTTCAGAGTATGGAAGTGATAAGTTTAATAGTCTTCTGCTTTAAATAAACGTGTATAATCCAGAACAGTTTTCCTTGTGTTCTTCCTTAATGCATTTCAATCCAGAGCATGACAGCAGCTCTGTTTTCAACATAAATTATGAACAAGAATGTGTAAGGTTTTATCAGTATGGAAAATAACTGTCAAAACAGCCTGCCTTTTAAGTGCATGCTCTGTATTTGCTTTTTTTTTTTTTCCTTGGAATGCTTCAATGGGCTCCTTTAACATTCACATAATGTAGATTTTAATGTATTTATTATAAGAAGAAGTAAACAGCTTTCTGAGGCTTTTTAATCATTAACTGATAAGCTATTAATGTTAATTTTATTGCTTTCTAGGGCTATGATAATTCAGAGAGTAGTGTTCGTAAGGCATGTGTTTTCTGCCTTGTTGCCATTCATGCAGTAATTGGTGATGAACTAAAACCACATCTCAGTCAACTCACTGGCAGTAAAGTAAGTAAAAGATTACAATTAAATATATCTTGGATCATAATTGCATGTACACATTTGTATTTCCATTGCAATTACCAGAAAGTTTCATAAAAGTATGTATCTGAATGAAACTTCCAGGGCTTATGAAGCTCTCAGAAGATCAATGTAACTTTGGCATAAAAGGTTCAAAACTAGGAATCCATAGATCTGTAAATACTTAGGGACTTGCACAAACTTCAGCAATGTAAAAAATAAGTTGTTTCTTGCTGCTATTTAGTAGATCTAGTTGCATACTGTCAGTGGCTGAAAAAAAAGTTAGAAAATATATTTTTAACATTTTGAACATTCTTGAGTACACTGTCAGACTTATTATTCTGAAATAGTGATAATGGCTATATTCAGCGTGGGTTTTTCTACCTGTGTTTCTTGTCATATTTTTATGCAGTTGGAAAGCATTAAATGTCAAGTGCAAATGTTATATTCCACAGTTTATTTTCCCTCCTTATTGTTTTGCATTCATTAGACCTTTCAGTATCACGAATTTGGGGGCAGGGGAAACCCTTTGTTCCTTTTTGGTTCAGGAAGGTTAGGGTTTTATTGACATCTTGTACATACTGTTGTTTACATGCAAACAGGTGTTTTGAGAGTCTGTCCTTGGGAATAAAACGGGACAATTAATTTTGTGTATCTTTGCATAAGACAGTTGCATCTTAAGAATACTCTCTGGCAGTGATGGCACTGAGTGTATTTCTAGGCAGTACTGGAAGATTTAGTAGGTACAAGAAAATCAAATGTAACTAGAGGCTTAAAACCTCAACATTCGCCTAAGGTAGTTTTTTTTCCTCCTTCATTTCAGAACAGCATTGTAATTCGGGGAAAATAATCCACCCATTTGAATTTAGCTAACTTAGATCACTTTATTTACATCCCTAATGATGCTTGACCTGTTTCCTTGTGAGAAATTTTGCTGTGTTTAATATTTTTATTGTTAAGTATGTTACCTTCCAGTTAATTATGTAACATAAACCATTTTTTTCCTGAAAGCAAAATTAATGTTTACTTTGGTGTGTCATTCCTGTAGTGTGTACAGTTTGTAAATACTAACTAAAGCAAATTTCTGGCTTAAATTTGCAGATGAAATTACTGAACCTTTACATCAAGCGTGCACAAACAGGCTCTGGACCAGGGGATGCAACAGCAGATATGTCTGGACAAAGCTAATGAAGCTGACAGGAGTTAACCGGGTCTCTTAAAGCAAGGGCCAGGCCCTCTTCAAGTGCAAGGAAAAATCTTACGACATTTGGAACCATTTTTTTTTCTCATTTTCCTCCCTTTTTTTTCTTTAACCATTGGCTGTCTTCAGCCTGCATGTGACTGTTGCAATAGAATGATTCCAAATCCAAGGAAAAAACAGTATTAACATCGTTGATCAAAGCAAAATAAAATTTATAAATAATCTAATAACATCATTTATCCTGTTCACAATCCTCTGTGTCTTCCCGTTAACTTTTGCCAGTGTTACTGTATTAAAAACATTTTTTACCCTAATTAAACAGGTATGCTTTAAGCTTCAGAAGTTAAAATATAAGTTCCACTGCTTTTACTCAGCTGCAGATAACATTGTTTTTATTGCTGTTTTGTTTGAGTATCATGTCCTTCACTAGAAACAAGAAGTGATGTGAAACAAGGCAGAACTAGTCTGAACTGCAGTGAGACTCGGTCACTGTTGGTGGTTCATCATCTTATTTACGGCTTGTTCAGGATATTCTGGAGATTGAGAAATATGCCTATAAAAAAGCTGGCTTGATCCAGTTCTGTAAAAGTGATGTTGTTCATTGGTTGTATGTTTGTTGCATAAATAAGAATTTAGTGTGCGCAGCAGAGGGCTGGTACAACCAGTACCTCTTAGTGTGGAAGACAGCCCTTTCAGGGTAGCACTGCCAACCCAGTGATAGTGTGGCAGTCCGCTTTTTAGCAGCGGAGTTAATGGTCACTTGATGGACGTGAACCATCCTTGTCACCTTTCGTTCTTCAAGCAGGATGCTTCAGAATGGAGTGCTCTGCCCAAGCATGCTCAGTATGTATTTATCTATCACTAGAATGTTTCCTTTCAACCTAATTGCTGGAACCAGTAGTCGTGTATTGTAACTCACATGGGATTTTATGACAATAGTGCAGAAGACTATTTATTTGTTACCTTCCTAAAAGCACCAAGATTTTCTGCATTGAATTTAAATAGGGGGGAATTTAAAAAGAGGGGAGGGGGAATAGTCATAAATGCTATGGATCTTGCCACCTTTTAATTTTAAAAATTATATATTTTGGATGAGGTGGGAAAGCTGCACCAGACTATTTGCATGGTTTTCTTGAATAGCATCCTCAAGACCCATCTGGATTAAGGTGTGGAAATATTTCCAGGGTTTGTTTTTCCATTTTTGAAAAAGAGTTAGTTTATTGTGAATAATGGTTCTTTGTATTTATGAACTTAATAATGGAAAGAGAGCAAGGATCGAGTAAATGTGTCCCTCAATGTTGTCTTTTTTCTTTTCTTTTTTTTTTTTTTTATTGTCTTGGATATAAGCAACAAGTTAATTAACTGAGAACTGGGATGAAGTAGAACCCTTCCCAGAAATGGTGGTAATTTTTTTCCCTAGCTTCTTTTCCCTTTGACTGTTGTGTTATCTAGTTGTAGGAAGTGTATCATGATAAGAGAGAAAATAGTAGTGCCAAGGATGATGATCTATACTAGGCTAAAATTCTCTCTACCTCTTCAGTGAGCTGCTGCTTATAGCACCCAGTAGAAGAACTATCTACAAGATTTTTTTTTTCCCCAAATTATGACTTAATGCATATTCAAAACTCTATTCTTCAACATGAAGCCAAATATTATAAGAAACTAATTATAAGCTTTATTTGCTAGGTATCCTGAAAAACAAAACTGAATAAAAATTGTCAGATGCTTGTAGTTACACAAAAGATTGTTTTCACTTAAGATTGAAGTGAATCTGATAGAAAAAGCTGAGATGTTGTTAAAGAAGCAGTGCCATTGCAGAGATTTATTTGGAGGAAAAGTTATAGAAATATATGGGAAGAGCAGGAAAAAAAAAGAGACTGTCGTAAGTCATCACTAGCCCTTTTTAACACCTACACCAGGAAGATAGCATCTCCTCTTTCTTTCCTCTGTTATGTGTAACATTTCTTGTTGTTTTCTACTGTTTAATTGCATTGTGTATTTATAGTTCTATGCTTACCATTGTGCATATACTGGCAATAAAATGTACATAACATTACTTTAAAAAAAAAAAATAATGTATACATTCTGGTTTTCTGTTTCATTTGATCACACGCTACAAGAAAGATTATAAAGGTGACAGAAACAAGATTGGTTTTAAAACAATAATCTTCATGTTTTGTGTGTCCAAATGATGTTCCTTTAGATACTCTGTTAGTAAATTGACTTAGCATTTGAGAATATGGTGTGAATATAGGTATGCTAGACAAAAATGGTTTTTGGAAGTTGCATATTATCTTTAATGGACACCACGTTTCCTTCATTTCAGCAGGCTTCTTGTTTACTATTTCATTTATTTGTACACTATTGCATTGCTTGCATTTTATTTTTTTTAATATGTCACATATTTTTAGTTAAAGATCTTGTAGTTTACATTTTGATTACACATCAGAACATTTAAAAAAAAGCACACACTTTCTAAGTTTAGTAGTTCCATATATTATTCCTGCTTTTTCTATAGGTAATATTTATTTCAAATGATCATTTCACAATGACTTTGCTCTGTCATCTTTTTGAAGATGTTATTTCATACTGAAAAATAAGTTTATTGAAACATACCATATATATTCTGGATGAACATAACTTTTTATCTGTAAAAAAAAAAATGTTGGTAAGAAAAAAATGTTTTTTTCCCCTATGACTGAAAAATTTTGTTCCAGGGGGAGGAGAGGAGATATTTTCACAAAGTTTGTCCCTCAGTTATGCTTCTAAGACATCTTTAAACGTTCTAAGTGTGATATCCCATGTACTGAAAATCTAAATGCAATATATTTAAATGAATATTTTAGTTACAATACAACTAGTTCTGTTTCCAACAAAGATGGGACCACTGTATGTGGATAGAACGTGTTTGTATTACATGAAGCCAGAAGAATTTGCAACAAAATGTTCTCCACTGCGGCCAGTTACCAGATTCACCGCATTGTTTTTTGCCTTCATTTCCTATACCCCAAATAGACAATAGCTCAATTAAAATTGAGCTATGATTAGTCATGCCTTATGTTTGTACTGGAGGTGGTTTATCTTAAAAAAAAAAAAAAAAAAAAAAAAAAAAAAAAAGGCATAAAGACCTGTGAAAAAATTAGGACAATTAGTATTGTTCTTTTTCAAAAAGGCTGTCTTAATATTCTGTAATGATAGATCATTGCAATGGTTTGTGTACTGAAATGTGATTCTTAAAGGCTGGTTTCAGGCTTTAAAAAAAAAAGGAAAGAAAACTATATGCAGAATCAGAATAGGAAATGCACATCTTGAATGTCTTGGACTTGGATGTCATTTGCTTTAGATAATTTTGGGTAACATCTGTTCAGCTGAAATTGGGATAGTAAATGTAAATTGGAAGAGAATTGATCATGTAAATTTTCCTGAGTTTGGTTGCTTGTTTGTTTTTAAAGATAAAGACTGGAACAGATTGAGTCATGTTTATTATTTGTGGTCTGAGTTCCAGAGTGAAAAGAACACACACTTTTATCCTTAAATACTTGTACATTCTTAGCATCTTAAATGTTTAAATGTTCGAGTAAATTCACAAACTCATCAATGTAGAAAGTGTTTAGAGATTCAAGGCCTGACGTGCTCACAGTTAATTGTCAGCAAAAGAATTCAGATTTTGAATATATCATTGTCCCTTTGAAAATAATCATAAAAGATAAAATGAGGAATAAATGTGAATTATGCTACAGTTAATCCCTCTGACAGGTTAGAAAGTATGGTTTGGTTGGCTGTGCTAGGCTGAGATTTAGCAAACAGAAGCATGGAATACAGTAAAAATAAGATGAGGATAGATAGGCAGTTTGGGAACGGGAGGATTATCTGGAGAAATAAAACATGCTTTTTCCCAACTGAACTGGTAAACTGATTAATATTAGTATTCATACTATGTTCTCTAAAGAAAACTTCTTACATTGTTCCCATCTAAATTTTGTAATCATGCCTTCTGCATTTGTAGAAGCATGTGCTTTTAAGTATGTATCTTATATAACAAATATTCTCTTAAGTGAATCTTTGTTGTTAGAACATGGATGGTTTTCAGTAATTTGGGAAGTTTGGGAAGTTGTGGTAGTCTGGCAAGTGCAAAAAAAAAAAAAAAAAACTGAACTTAATTTGCCTTTTTTCTATACATCTTGTTTACCCATGTATACTGAAATATTTTAAGACTTCAGGGTTCCCAGACTGTGCAGCTTGGGTTACCCCCAACTACTGAAGTTGCGTCATTTATCAATAGGATTTTAGGGTAATGAGCATGTTTACTTAGAATTACATACTATGACTCAGACACAATCACAACTTCATTTGTAAATGGCTGTTAAACAGTAACTCTTGGAAACTTTGAAATGCTATTTGGCAAGCAGTCTTGAATAACATGACTTCTATCAAAAATGAAATTAATGATGTATTTTAAGCAGATGCAAGTGATCCTGATAAAGCATATTTTGAGGGAGTAAGATTGAGAATAATGCTGGGTAGAGATATATGGGAAATACCTTTCTTCAGTGGAAAAAACAGCATTATCTACATGAGATATCGAGACATGTTACTATCACCAGGAGGTAGAAAGGTAATTAAACTTTATATTAGGCATCAAAGATTCATAAGTCTTTCATTTTATTTTGCTTCCTTTTCTAGATCTTGCTTTTATCCACCAACAGAAATCTTCGTACCTCCATAAACTCCTACTGAAATCAATACTCCAGTCAGCTCTGTTAACTGTGTCAAGATCAGTTCAAAGGTTGCCCCTGTCTTGCCAAGGAGGATATATACCAGTAAAAACAAAAATGTACATGTACATCAGGCAGCAGACAGACATCAAAAGTCAACTAGGCTGATTAGTAGGTATTCCCTCACAATCCTTTCATCTCTGTCTGTTGCAGACAAATCAGACTGGGGAATGATCTCAGACTGGTTCTCTGGCAGCACTCTGGGATCAGAAACTTATGCCAGAGATGTTGGCTAAGGTCAATGTCCCAGGCCTTGAGTGACCCCCTTTATGGGGGGTGAGGATGACTAAAAAAAGACATCTAGTATCTAGTTTATTAAGTATCTAGTATATATCTTTATACTATATGCGTTTAGATTGATATTTATATCTAGTATGTGTTAAAATTTCAGGGAAGATGAGGAAAAACTAATTTTAACTTGATTTAAATAGTTGAAATACATGTTTGTGTCTGTGGGGGAACTGGATATGTCTGTTTCAATTGAAGATTAGCATGTTTTAAATTGCTTGTAGCACACTGCTAGAAAACGTTAGACCTGGCTGGGTACCACAGATTCCTCAGGTAGAAGGGATCCTGTCCATTAGGAATTAGAAGGAGCTGAACCATCTCTTCTGTGCATGGTGTCAGATCACGTAGCAAGCTGGCATTGCCACAGCAGTCTTCAAATCCAAATACTAGTATTTCAAGCAGAACTAAAAGTCATCACTTGACAGCAAAAACTTTCTTGAAAAAAAGATCCTCAGAATATATCCGTAGTCTGTGAGATTACGATGTTTTATGTGGTGCTGAATTTAATTTTTTCATGCAGTGTTGTCTGTGGAATATTTTTTTTACTTGCCAAAAACAAATATCAAGGAGGACATTCTGCATATGTAAACAATTTTAATAAAATTGTCATTTGCTGTAGTTCACAGAAGGGTAGTCACAAAGTTAAGTGAGGACACCAATTGCTCTCTCTCTCTATATATAAAAAAAAAAAAAGATTACTGAGGCATCATTTGATTTGCTACTTAGATGTCAGTTTGGATGCTGCTCATGGAAAAATCCAATAAAACTTTTCAGGCACCGTATGTTGAAGTACTTAGCACAGATACACCTGTTAGTAAAACATTAGCCTCCCCACCTCAAATTTCAGCTTGGACCTTGCATGCTATACACAAGCCTTGAAGCAAGAGATGTTTTAAATAAATAGTCTCTTGTTGTTTGTGTATACAATGCTCCTTTGCTGAAACCTGCTTAGTACTTATGGGGCAGATTATAAACCAAGAAACAAAAATAACCCCTTAACAATAAACAGTACAGTGCTAAAAACTCACCTTATTTGTCCCCAAACTTGCACAACTAGGTAACTACATACCTTTATGTCTAGAGGTTAGTCAAGGGCAGCAGGTGTGGGTGTGGGGAATACACAGTACTTCACAAAGCAAAATGCCGGAATTGAATGTGGGAAGTTAGCCTGATGTAAAAAAAAAAAATGAAGTTATACTGTAGTTGAAATTTTATCCCCATATACTGCTTGCAAGGAAGATCAGTCAAAATACAAGACCATGAAGTACTAATTGCTGAGTGGATTTTTTTTTATGTTTAATTTCAGTTTTAATAGTAATGTTTTCTTAACACTTTCTGCATGCTCTGTCTAGTGCTTTCCTTACGAGGAACTCAAAGCTTCTATGAGTGAAGAATCAAGCCCCTTGCCAACCCATAGTAGGGGGAGAAAAGCAAATTTTCTACAAAAGAGGAAGGTAACCTGGTGAAATATACCTTGATTTGAGCCAGGTATTCTGAATTCCAGGCACTGTGTAGTATGCGTGATATCATGCTGCTATGTTAGCGTGTATTTATGTATTTTATATTTCAAGCTACAAATGCCTGCAATTGAATTGATGAAGAGGGACTCAGAAAGATGTCTTAAAAGATATGGTGGGATAGATAGTTTCAGGAAGTTGAGCTTCTTTGCAATGGCAAATGCCTACCTCCACCCAAGCCATCTTTCCTGATAAAATGTTTAAGTTGTATTTGTTGATGACCAAGGATTGAGGAAACGATGACTTTTGTGTTTCCAAAGCTGGAGGATGGTAGTGGCTTCTGCAAAGTAGGAGAAACTTGCAACAGTCACCTTTTAAACTGTGACGTGCCTACTTGTGCAACTGCACCATAAAGCCTTTTAAATATTAGAATATGCAACTCCAATTAAATGGACTGGTGTAGCTGTCACCCTACTGAATTAGCAACGTGTTTTTTTCATGACAGTCCACAAGCTTCAGTCTTGCTTTGCCTCTATGCCACCAGGAGCAGTGGTTGCAGTGGGGTACGATGGCCAGTAGTGGCAGCCACACAAAAGTTTGAAATAGTTTGCACACTCCGAGGGGTACCCTTAACACAGGCCTTGAACTTCCACATTTTAGAAGAAGCAGGGCCTTAGAAACTAAGCTGGACACAGTACATATGATCAGAATAGTCTTCATCATCACACCCTCTACTAATAAATACCTCTTCTCCTTGAGACAGCAGCTTCTTTAGATAGAAGCAGTGGCTCCGTTATTTTTAGTCAGTATAAGCATAACTCTTGAAAAATCAAATGAAGCTGACACTGAATGGGCACATTTGTTGTGATGCTCCTGTTGTGTTTTTCTGATTAAGCTCCTGCTCACTGTCTGCCCTCAAACAGCCTAAACCCAGGCCTGCAGCCTAATCTGCACCTGCCAGCCTGGACTCCCATTACAGCATTAGTTATTTTCAGCCACAACAGGCTGTCTTGAGGTCAGTACAGATCTAGAACTTCTGATATGTCGTGTTTGTGTTATTATTTGTGTTTCCACATACATTTTGCTAAATCAACATCTGTCAAAAAAAGCAACAGACTAATTTTGGGGGGAATAAAGTGCCTGATGATTCAAAGCCACGCGTACCCTTTGGGGTACAGTTAGAAGTGGGAGCCACCCTGCTACGGACTCAAAGTCCTTCAAGATAAGGAGAACTTCTGTTAGTACTCTTTCCTTTCAAGAGAAATACAAGTCACAGAACAAAACAGGTGCCCTCTTGTGAGAGGTCATGGGAAGCTCACAACATCCCCAATGGAAGATTGTGAATGTTTCTGGAATGTGTAATCCTTACTAATAATCAGTGCAAAGGGAAAATGAGGCTTCCAAATAAAATGTGCTGTACGCATGTAACACACAGTGATTGTGTTTTACAACTTGACGATAGATGAAGCAAACTGAATACCAGGATATCTACTGTTTCTGAAGTCAAATTTAATTATTAGAAAATGCAGAAGCGATCAGTGAAAACAGGAGTTTGTGCAGCCCTTTATACTTGTTCAAAGATGCTCGTTCACACACAGAGTTGTAAGTGGAAAAACTAACCTTGAAAATATTTATCCAGCTCTCATCCTTGCTGGAGAAAAGATCAACTCATGTATGCAAGTGCAACTGTGTCCTGAGAGCCCTCCTTGAGGTACCTTCATTCCTCATGGAGAACAATCTCAGAATCACCAAAACAGCAGTCACAATTCTTGTTATCTTTTCTAGACAGCATCACATGTGACTGTTTCTTTCTCTTCCTGTATTTACAGTTCCTCTTTTATTGTTATTCTTGTGTTTGCATCATGTTTGCATTGTTTGATGTTGAATAAAAATGGTAAGGTAAAAGGGGGAACTGCCTCATTATGAAAAAACAAAGAACTATCACCAAA